GGGGGGCAGTTGCTCTAAGTTCCTTCCTATTGTCCAGCATGGCCAAGTTATTAATAGTGTTAACATTGTCGATACATCATTGAAAAGCAAAAGTTCTATTTGAGAACTCACATACAAACCAGAAATAAAGTCAAAAGTTTTCATCTTTTCTAAACCAGTCTGTGTAGTATATGGTAAGAGTGCTGTTCAATCAAGACACTGCTAACAGTTAAATCATGATCTCACACTCAAATTTTAAAGTGAATGTTGACCTCAGAATTGAAAATCTCATCAAATCTGTAAATATTTGTATCATTACACCTAAAAAATAGTGAAGCTGCTGTCAACGGTTGTTAACTGAGCAAAAGAAAAAAGTAAAAGAACAGCAAATGCTTTGGGCTGTTTAGTCATCTTCACTGCGGTATGTTAATTTATTAATCCCTGCTATAGCCGGAACTTTTAGTTTCTGCTATAGCCTGAACTTTTAATCAGAACCTGAACACAGCCTGAGAATTTTCTGACTGAGCCTGATCAGACCTGAACCACATTGGCTACCTTTATATGCAAAATCTGATCGAATACATTCTGATCATAGATTGAGACTGAAGTGTTTATATCTCATTCTACTCAACAGTCTGATGAAAATCTCTGTTTACATGCACACTACAAGTAATCCGATGAAAAATTACATGTATGCGCATAAGCACCACTTAGTGTAGATGTTACCATGACAACAAGCATCACGTGAGTCCGGTCAGAGTGAGACGAGCAGCAGTGCGTTACCTAAATTTTCAGCTGGCACACTTGTGTTTTTAATTACTTTAAAATGATGTCAGACTCAGGAAAACATCCTTCACATGTACTTATTAAAGAAGGGTGAAAGGAAGACGTCGTGTTCTGAGACATATGAGCTGGACGCCCGTCCCACCACCATCTTTTAAAGCTCAAAGCATGAACTTTGTCTCCTCTGCAGACCAGTTTCAGCTCCCGCCATGTTGACATTATAAACTTTTGCTATGATGCGACGCACATGCGCAGAACAAACTTATATTTAAGATTGGAAATGTAATCAGATACAGGCATGTACATGGTTATTATTCTTCTGTTTATACTGATTATTTACAGGATTACCCACCTTGTTCAATCAGATAGAAGCTGTATTCTGAATGGCCTCAATCGGACTAGTCTATTTCAATTGAGGTGTATACATGCACATATTCTGTTCCAATTAAGATATTAATTGGATTATTAACGGATTATCAGGCTGCATGTAAACGTGGCTATTGTCATGATTCGAGTCTGAAACTGACTTGTGCAAAACTGACCCAAACAGGCCCATCTTCACTTTAGTGCAGAATAAAACCTGATGAGATACTACTGTGTTGATGATTTGATAGTAATAACAGCAGTCAAAAGAACACAGATACATAAAATATAAAAAAATATAAAATTATATGTTATAATAAAATAATCAGCTGTCCAAAATAATGTATTCGTCAAATATTGTTTTTGAACAACATCTCAAAGATCAGTCTAGTTAAACTGTCTATACTGTCCCGTTTCTACACTGTGGAACTACACTCACTACTCTTCTTCATTTCTAAATGCAGTTTCTAAATGCCTTTGTCACATTTGTTTTGGTACGTAAAGAACATGAAGGTCACAAATAACCAAAATATAATCAAAATATTATTTGCATTTCAGTCACCTCTTTCTTTAGGTGAAACAAAGATCTTAGTGATGTGAATCGTGTTTTGAATGTGTGCACACTCATGTAGAAACCATCACTGTGCATCCAATTATAAGGCAGCGTGGAGCTTCTTCTATATAGTGATAGAAAACACATACTGATCCATTTTACTATGGCCAGTGGGGACAAGCACGCAGCCCAACTACTCCGTGGGCAGATTTTAATGAGTTATAGGGAACAAAGACGAAATCTTTGAATGTATCACCAATGAAACAGTAGGTATGATAGGGTTAGAGCACATTCTTGAGGAGGCTGAGCCTTCCTTGCCTCCTTGACAGACTACCACTGCTTCAGTGTAGAGGGCAGAGGCAGGGACTGTTTGAAGAGGTACATCTTAGGCATTGCTATCGATGTGAAGCAAGATAACCACTATTAACAATGGTCATTTTAATGGGTAGCGAGGACCAAGGCAGTGTAGAGCGGGCCATTTACTGTCCATCAGTCTAAATGCACCTAATGGACTGGCATCCATTCCACAGCATGCAGGATTGACCTTGACAGAGTGCTGAGTTTCACCGGTGCCAGTTTCACTTTCAGCCCCCCAAAAAGCACACCTCCGCTGCCAGCCTATGTCATGAATACACTTCAGCTGCAATCTCCCTGCCTAATGCCTTTTATTTCTTCATAGCACTCACCAAATCCGACTAGTGAAAAGAAACGAACGCTGCTAGAACGAGAATCAGGAGCTTTTCATAGCTGAATGGCTCTTAACTAGAGACTGGGAAGCCCCTAGTCCAGTAAACACAGAACCGTCCCCTACGCCAGAGCGTTTGTGTCGTATTCCACTGATGTTGCATGTTCAGTAAGGGTGTTGTGCGGTTCTGAGAAATGGGTCGTTACTGACTCCCTGTGGTTCAACGAGTGAAATAGATTAATCGCCAGCAGTCAGTATTCTGACTGAATACACAGATTATCAGATTACGGCATTCACTCCTTCTGCCAGGTGGATCTATAGAATATATTTTAGCTTCAGGTGCAAGATGCAATTAATCACCCCATAATCTCCCAACTGCTATGTGGGTGTTTACCGTTGCTGCCTGTGTCTTTCAGCCATGGGTAGTGGCTCTCTGCCGATGTTTACATTTATATAAGGCTTCCCGTTCATCCTTTAATCTTTGACAGAGAAGAATATGGGTTTTGCTTAATCCTGGAACCTTTCAGATATATATGGAAACCATGGGTGAATGCTATTAAAATCATAATGCGTGTTCTGCTTGTATACCTAATAATGCTGGTTTTGTATACCTTAGCCTTACATTGTAAATGTCCTTTAGAATTAAAGGTTAAAGGTGTACAGATTAGAAATGCCCACAGATGACATGTGAACTAATAATAACTGCATGAAAAAAAGTGGTTGTGAGATTCTTATGGTGTGACTGGTACGCTTTTTGCAAAGAATAAAAACTACAGTTGGTCATTGGCTCATGTTATATGATTACAGCCAGTTTAATATTATCTATTTTTGTTGTTCCAACTTACACCTCACCCTCTCCACTTTCTGTAGATTGAGAGTTAGCCCTTTTCAATAAAGTTACAGTAATTCTAATAAAGAAACTCCAGCTGTGCCCTGTTCCTTCTAGCTAACATACACATAACACATTAACAGCAGCTTCTGCAAGTAGATAAGGAAAAAGCTCACTTTAAATAGGGTGGGTCTTAAGTAATTGGACAGAGACACAATTAGTATTGTGGCTCTGTATGCCAGCACATTGCATTTAACATGAAAATACTATGCACCTAAATTAATGTGCAGAATGTAGGCTTTAATTCAAGTATGTTTAGTTTTACATATAGTTTTCCCATTTCAGAGGGCCATAAGTAATTATGCCATAGCAAACAACCACACGGACAATTGTAGCACACATTAGAGTAGAAAGTCATGAAGAAAAACTACTAAATAGATCAAGATCACTATCTCAGATGTTGGTAATGATGTCCCAAAGACCATAAACTAACACAACCTCAGAGGGTTTTCCATACTATACAGTCCAGTCAAAAGAACAGCTGACATTTTGCAGAACGTCATGATACAAAGCTTACCAGCTAATCCGTGAAACATGGTGGCATGGGTATGTTTGGGTCTTAGTAAAAGCTGTTAGGATAGTGCTTTATGTTGTAGCAGGACAATGACACAAAACATGCTACTAAAGCAGCTATTGTTCAAGCAAATAACCTGAGCTTAAATTCAGTGAGCATGCATTTCATTTACTGAAGACAAGTCTGAAGGCAAATAGCCTCTTATTCAAGCAGGAACAGGCCTTGTAGAGCATCAACATAGAAGATAACCAACATCTTGTGATGTCTGTGGGTCACTAACTTCAGCAATTATAAATAGGAAACTTATTTAAGAAATTTGAATTTGTCTTATCACATATAGTCCCATGGCATTTGGGGGGCATGTATTAACCCCTTAAAATTCCAGGCTTGTTACATACTAAGGCTTATTATTCAGTAACTACAGGGACTTCAATGTAAACTGGTGGAGCTTTTCTTAAGTTAAAGAATTGTGCAGTAAAATCAGTGGGCCTTGGCCTTTTAAGGGGTTAAAAGAGCTCTATATCCTATTTGGTTTAACCAATTTAGACAAAAAATGCCCCTGGAAAACTTTAACATTCAGTACTTTAACCTCATAGTTATTGTTTTATTTTGAATCCAATGTGTCCAAGAAACCAAAAATGCATAATTCATTCTTATTATGGACTACACGTAGATGGGCAATATGACAATACTTTGTCATGAATTAAATTACATGACAATATACCTATATATCCAATATTTAACATATTGTAGATATTGTCAGTGCATACAGAACACCAATCAACTGCATGTTTAATTGGATTTAGTGCAGCATAGTATGAGAAACATTGAAGAAAATGTATTGTACATTGAGAAACCTCTGAAGAACTAAATATTGTGATGCCTGTATCATGTATTGTGAAAATGTTTAAAAACATTGTGATGTATTTTTGCCATTTCACCCACACTTACTGCACTGTATGTAGCCTCCTGTATTAAAACCAGTTTATGTTGTGGAGTTGATACTAAGGCCAGTCACTGATGGCCTTGTTTTAATGTCACAAAACCATTTATAACTTTTAATATGGCGCACACTCTGCAGAATTTTGGCTAGCTTCTAAAAATAGCCTATTGCGAGCTTGAATGACATGCTGTGTTGTGCATGCGCAGGGGCTGCACAGAGACCAGGGGAGAGACGGCTGAATTGAAGCAGGCCAGCTTTTTAATTGGCTCTCTCTTATCTCTCCCCATGCAGTGTGTACGGCTGCCCTCTGGCCAAGAAGAGGAAAACACACGACAGGCAGCCCCTCGAGCCAGCGGCCAAAAGAAAGGCCTTTCTAACACACACTGAGCTGCAGCCCATGGAGGACTGCTACGAAGCCGAGGCGGTCGAGGACGAGATGGACGAGAAAGAAGAAGAGGAAGAGGAAGAGGAGGAGGAAGAGGAGGAAGCGGCAGAGGAAGAGGAAGAGGAGGAGGAAGAGGAAGAAGAGGAGGAAGAAGAAGGAGAGGGAGAGGAGGAAGTGGAGGAAGAGTATACGGACAATGAGGAACAAGTAGAGCAAGAGGAAGGAGAGGTGGAGAATGGAGAGGAGGAAGAGGCGGAGCAGGAAGAAGAGGAAGTGGTGGAGGATGAGGAGGGAGAGGAAGGCGAGGGGGAGGATGAAGAAGAGGAAGAGGATGAGAAGGGAGAGGAAGAAGACGATGAAGAAGAGCATCAGCACATTGAAGATCAAGGTGAGAAGGCAAATCTTTTCTGTTTTCCATCTGACATGTAAACATTTCCCAGCTACTCCAGAAAAGTTGTTTCCTAAGACATTTGACATGATTTGAGCTTTGATGATTTTTTTTAATTTTTTTCTCCTTTTTGGCTCACAACAGTTACTTTACATCAGACTATGTTTCTTTATGAGTAAGAACAAAGTGGAGTTAAATGAAACTGAAGTTAAATAGTGGGCATTGTCCTCCAGAAAAGGGCCAGAGGGAGGGGGAATTGGCAGCTCAAGCTCTTTGGAGGAAGGTCACCGTAATTTGAGGTGCAGTTGGATGTTTGTACTGCGACCTTCAGTGTGGTCTCAGTATCAGGCTAAAAACAGCCCCTTCAAAACATTGCCTCCGCTCCTCCACATACTCGCTATCTTGCTGATGCCCAGTTTAGTCAGATTCTTCATTCTACAAGAAGCCGCAGGTTGTACCAATACGCTGCACTATACTATAATTTACTATGCTATACTATACTGCATGTGGACATTATATTCGGTTGGCAGCCCTTGAGACTTGATAAACTGAGAGTTTTTATTTATTTATGGTCCTCACATCTGAACAACACCTCTCCTTGAATGCACAGATTCACTTATCTGAGTCACATGTAAGAAATAATATTTGAATATCATTGCTGTCCATCCCAAAAAAAACTTTATCATTCAAGTTATTCCCGAAATAGTAACATTATAGAAGAAGGTAAAAACTTTGTTACCTTTTTAATATAGAAGACAACTGACTGATATATATATATATATATATATATATAGAGTGTCTGTGAGGAATTTTTGCCCATTCATCCAGAAGAGCATTTGTGAGGTCAGACACTAATGTTGGACGAGAAGGCCTGGCTTGCAATCTCTGTTCTAGTTCATCCCAAAGACGTTCAGTTGGGTTGAGATCAGGGCTCTGCAGGCCAGTCAAGTTCTTCTACACCAAACTCACCCAGCCATGTCCTTATGAAGCTTCCTTTGTACACTGATGTACAATCATGCTGGAACAGAAAAGGGCCTTCCCCAAACTGTTTCCACAAAGTTGGAAGCATAGAATTGTCAAAATTGTCTTGGCCTGCTGAAGCATTAAGATTTTCCTTCACTGGAATTAAGGGACCCCACCGCGACCCAGAAGGATAAGCGGTTTAGAAGATGGATGGATGGATGGATGGATGGATGGATGGATGGAATTAAGGGGTCTGGACCAAGCCCTGAAAAACAACCCCATAGCATTATCCCTCCTCCACCAAACTGTACAGTTGGCAAAATGTAGTCAGGCAGGTAACGTTCATCATTCCATCAGACTGCCAGATAGAGAAGGTGATTCATCACTCCACAGTGATGTGTTTCCACTGAGTCCAGTGGCAGCGTCCACTCTGTAAATTTGTGTGGTCTACCGATTCATGGCTAAGCTGTTGTTCCTAAGTGCTTCCATTTCACAATAATAGCACTTACAGTTGACAGGGGCAGATCTAGTAGGACAGAAACTTCAACTGACTTGTGGCAGAGGTGGCATCCTATGATAGTGCCACTGAGCTCATCAGTACGACCCATTCTACTGCCAGTGTTTGTCTATCGAGACTGCACGGCTATGTGCTTAATTTTATCCACCTGTTAGCAATGGGTGTGGCTGAAACAGCTGAACTCTATAATTAAGAAGTGTGTCCCAAAACCTTTGTTTATATCGTGTATATAAGGGAGAAAAGCATATATTGTGTTTTTGTTTGTTTGTTTGTTATGCTTGTTTGATAAGGCTCTTGTGGCAATTTTGTTTGTACCATGTGGGCAGAATGCATCCGATTCGTGCTTGAAACTGCTGCATAAACCATAACATCAAGCCCTGGGTATCTTTCCTGGTGGTGCTCTAGAAGACCTGTAATCTGGCTTGTTTTTGCCTTCAGTCTTGACTGAAGTATTTCAGTATTCAGTAACTGAGGTTTAGGTTAGGTGATTCCTGTCCTGAACATTGTACATTGTACATTCAATGTTTACTTTAGTGATATGCTTTGGGTCACTGTCCTACTGCAGTATGAAGCGCTGTCCAATGAGTTTTGAGGCATTTGCTTTACATACCGTAACACAGACTTTTGGTTCTTGGGGCTTATCGGTGCTTAGCATCTTGTGGTAAACCCTCTGATTCTTCTCTTTATGGTAGTTTTTTTTCACAATCCAGGACAGTGTTCCTGGATAATTGAACAGTTTTTCTTCATAACTGAAAGTATTCTTTGGTCATCCACTACTGTGGTCTTTTGCAGACCTGCTGGTTGTTTGCTATGGCTTCTAAACAGTATAATCTGTCATAGACAGATGATTATGACACATATCATCTTTGGCTGTGTCTGTGATTGATATGTTTTTGTTCCATGACAGCCTGCTTTGCTTTTCTTTGGTCCTCATAATGACAGACAACAGTCTCCAGATGCAAATGCCACAAATAGAATCAACTCTAGACCTTTTGTTAGCTCTCCTGTGCATGAACTAATGATGCAGTGACACACAGCTGGCCAGGAAATAAGCACCCAACTGTCCAGTTAGTTTTCATCCAAATAAAATGGTGGGATTTGGCATAAAATTGGGCATGTAATTCGTATGATTTGCCCCATGCAAATACCTGAAAATGAAAGCAATTTGGCCACACTGTCATCATTTTGATTTTCATTTGATTGTATCACTTTCCAGTTGTTTATGGGCTGTATTTAGTTTTTTAAACAAAAGTGTATTATTTTAAATTGGCTCAACATAAGCTTCTGTGCATCTCATACTTTTGTAAGTGGAAAGCTCCACAGCCCAAAACATTGCAGTCTAGTAAGCTGCATTTTAAATTCGCAGCAGAATTACATTAGTAGCTTGCTGGTCTGACTGCTATGACAGCATGCTTGTGGTCATAATGTCTGAGGTTCTGTGAGAGTGGGTGGGTTTCCCAGTGCTCTGCTGAAATGAGATTAGTTGAGTAATGTCTCAGCTCTCTCAGACACTCTGAAGACCTGGCTGGACAGTACTTAGCCTCGGTCCACCCTGTACCAATCAGATCTGACAGCGCCTTCAAATCAAATTACGAATGGCAATTCTGAAATGATTGGCCATAACTCCTCATGGTGTGTTCTGTTTTCACACAGAGAGGGCAGAGCCTGTGAGCTAATGAGTAGATATTGAGAAGAAAGGAGAATAAAGCAACAAGTAAAAAACAAGTAAAAAAACAAAAATTGAGAAGGTCTTGCTGAGCAAGAGAGTATTATGAGAGATGGAAGAGACTCTGTACTGTCCTCTATACAGTGCATGCAAACTTTAACGCTAGGGCTAGGAGTCAATCAAGAAAGAGTCAGTTCTCTGATCGAGAGTCGACTCCAAAGTTTGTACTTAATTCCACATAGAGGCATTCAAGTTTACCCGCACTTGTGATCACACGGAAAGTGAGATATTCTGCCGTCACTCTCCAGACAGCCTGTTAGGAAAATGCATTCTTCCACAACATTGGCTATATTTTGCTCTGGACAAAAAAAAGGAAAAAAAATGTTCAATATTTAACAAAAAATGGCTTACAATCTACATCGCCAGTGCTGAAACGTCTACCCGACACGGAAAAATAGAATAAAGTTTAACTAGCCCCCATTGTCAGCTAAATTAACCTAGCTCGAATTAGCTCACCAAATTGCCTTGCTGAGGCCTAAAACAGAGTTTTTCAAAGCCGGACTTTGTATGCAGTATCCAGTCCTGGATTTTAAAATCACTTGTAGGTAGGACACTAGGTGGCCAATCAGACAGCCGATATCAACAGCTGAGTTAACTACCAGGGATTACAAAACCCAGGACTGGAAATCGGATTCAAGGTCTGGATTTGAAGACATCTGATCTAATAGGTCATATAAACAGACATACACCTTGTGTCCAGAAAGAAAAATTGAGGCAGTAGTTAATATGTCAAGATCCCTTGTCATTCATAACATGTCATAATAGTACTTATAGTCTTATGTACTTAAAGGGCCCGTATCCTAAATTTTTCCCCTTCATTTACTTATGATACTTATAACATTTGTGTGGTTTTGTGCACCAAAATGGTCATAGTTCATTTTTACATGCCCATTTTTCAACCTCTCTTTATCCCTTAGAATTAAAGCTGTTGCTGTTACTGTACCTTTAAGACTAACTACATGTAAATGAGCTCTTTTCTGATTAGCTGCCTTGTATTGTGCCTCATTAAAACAGCAATCTGAGCTGAAACACTCCCTAGAACCTAAATGTGACTGAGCAGAGCTTCACTGTTATAAGCCGAATAGGTGGGTTCTCCTGGCATCACAGAAACAATGAGTTCAAAACAGACTGTTTTTGCAGCTTAGTTTCCAAATATAGACTGTATAGACTGGAGAGTGAATGGAATGTTTTGTAACTTTGACAATGTTTACGTATGACTTTAAACTCATTTAAACTTCAAAAAAGCAAAGGAAATTCAGTTTTCCATGATGAGGGCCCTTTAACATTGCACTTTTTATATTGCCCCTGTGTTCTGACTTCGTTCTCACTTGGAATCAGAATCGGAGTTGACTCCAAAATTTCTGAAATCAAACTGCCCTATGCAAAGAAAAAAAAACTATAGCCCTGTCCTAAATGACATACAAGCACCTTCTATGTGCTCTTACCACGGCATATGGCGAGGATCGAAACAGTGATGACACAGTAGCGACGTCTTATCCAGAATTCCATGAAATTTAGGTGAGGAACAGAGTATCTGGTTTTGTTTATAACTGTCCGACCAACATGGTGGAGGCATCTGAATTCAGATACTGTAGACAAGCACATAATTTCATTAAGAAAAAGCACAACCGATACACCGCACGTGTAAAGCCTGCACAGCACATAAGTTTGTTCCAAACGCTCATGCAAACCCCTGGCACCCCTGGGGTCTCTTGTCCTGTAGGTCTGAACATTGTTAATGTCTCCAAAGTGTGGCCTTTAATGAGGACAGCAGGGCTTAAGGTACCATTTGCACTTTTTTGGATAGGGCTTATGGAAATTTGTAGATATCTTTGATGTTTACAGATTTCTCAACAGGCCTTGTGCAGATATCTTCTATAATATATAAAAGACGTGGAGAGGACTCTTTCGGCTATTACGCTTCCAAACAGTGGAACTCAATTCCACCTTTTATTAGATAGTCAAAGCTCAGTGCACACCTTTAAGAAACATTTGAAAATGTATCTCTTTAACTGAGTGTTTATTTATCTTTTTTAATTTGATCTGTCTCATTGTCTTAGATGATTTTACATGAATACTCATAGTTTCATCTATTACTGTTAAGCTTTATCAGCTGTCTTTAAAACACTTTGAGCTGCCACCGGTATCAAGACATTATTATTATCATTATTATTATTATTATTATTATTATCAGTAGTAGTAGTCATAGTAGTAACTACTCTGAGACATTGCCATCAACAGACAGAAGAGCAAAGAGCCTTTTATCAAAGCCTTCCATTCACTGCCTTATTGCCATCTAATGGCAGGAGGACAAAATGCGTTCTTTCTTTCAAAACACGCCCTCCCAAGGAGAAGTGGCAAAAGATCCCAATCTCTCAGATGTAACTGAAGTGGCATTGTTATCATTTTCAATGGCATGCACATCGTAGCATTGCTAATCCGGCCAATTCAGCGTCGCTGTGCCCCCTCCCCCATTCAATCTGTTTCACTTCCCAGTCTCCTTTGTGTACCTTGATTGCTCTTCAAATTGCTTTTCCATGCCACATTTAAATCAGACGAAAATAAAACCCTCGGCTCTGACCTGAAGTAGGTCTTACTGTGGAAAAACACACTTGTGACTTCACCAGGAGCCTCAATGTCCAAAGCAGCTTTTATGACACACATTAATTTCCTGCATTATTCCTTTAGACATCTCTGCCTTGCAAATCGCACGGTATGCCTTGACATGAATGTTGACGTTATGAACAGTCCTTGAAGCACAATCTGATAACCGGTTTGTGGGAATGTATGATTCAGGGGTGTATTCTCAGTTGATATGCTCACTTTTTCCATGACATCAAGATCACACTTATTATCTTGAATCTTCTAAAGCTATTTTCTGTCACCCGCTGGTCTACAGGAGGTAAATGTGAGTGTGATGCAGGTAATGTGCTCTTGACAGTTCAGGGTGCAGATGTGAAAGGAAAGGTAGCAGCGAGGCTTGTGAATTAAAGTCTGAGACGGCTGACAAAAGTGCTTTAGTAAGCTTCTGCAGTTTGCCTGCTTTAATTAATCCATAAAAAGGACTGTTAGAGATTCTATTGATTAGTGTAAAGGAACTGAATGAAATAATGGAGGATTTTGGTGACATAATGTCACTTAAAGCCCACAGACTGGAATAATTAAACAGGCTATGTTGAGTCATTGGAAATTGTGCACCGAAATTTGCAGATAGATGCTGTATTCAAGTTTGTTCACAGTAGAAAATGTGTTATTTGTCTGGGGTTATTCAAACTTTTGCATATGACTGTATACATTAAGGCTGCCAAATAAGTAAAATAAACACAATTAACTGCATTATTTTGTGTAATCACAGTTAATCTCATTTGTCTTATTTGCTCACATTTGACCCTGAAGAAAGACCTTTTCCTTTATTAAACAGTACTTTTTTGTTATTTAGCTATATGAGTGGACAAAATATATTTTATCAGAATGTATTTATTACTTTAACTAATTCAGAATCAATATTTTCATCTCATGAATGCAGGATTCACATGAACTGAACATTAAGATCTCATGATTTCCATAAAGTCATGGAATGGCAGTTCTTTCATAAAATCCCCTGTGATTGTAGCCTTTCACTCAAGCTCGTGGATTCTTGTCATAGTGGAGGCTCTCTAAGGGGAACTGGAGCTTTACACTTTGCTGTTGCCTTTGTTAGTATGTTGTTTATTGATTTATCCATAGGTATCCATTGAGCACTGTCCAGCACAGTGTGCCAAAGGCATTTAACAGCTGTATTTCAAAGAGCAACATATTTTGCATGAGCAGCTGGGTTCCAGCCTGCACTATTACCAGTGATTTGAAGGGTCAAACAAGGAAAATACATTAATGACATTAAAAAACGAGCGGCCTTAATAATTTATCATTGTCACTATAGCCATATGAAGGGTTAAAGATCTAAATATATAGGCAGTGTTTACTAACCCCAAGAACTGAACATCAAATTTGTTCCTGTTTCACAGAAGGCAACCAGATAAACGGCGAGTACATTAAACCTAGTCCTGCAGTGGAGAAGGACGACAACAACAACGATGAATACGACAACTATGATGAGCTGGTGGCCAAGTCTCTGCTCAACCTGGGCAAGATTGCTGAGGATGCTGCCTACCGGGCCATGACAGAGTCTGAGATGAACAGCAACTCCTCCAACAGTGCTGAGGAGGAAGAGGAAGAGGAGGAGGAAGAAGAGGATGATGAGGAAGAAGATGAAGAAGATGATGAAGATGATGAAGGCGAGGACGGCTCTAAGAAAGACGAGCTGAGTCTGGATGTGGACAGTGATGTGGTGAAGGAGACGGTTGACTCTCTGAAGCTGCTGGCTCAGGGTCATGGAGCTGTGCTCTCTGACAACCTTGACGACAGGAGCTATCAGGAAGATATCAAAAATGAAGACTTGAACATGAATGGTCTTGGTGGATATGGATGTAATGGCAACACTAGCAGTTGCGCACAAGGCAAGCCAATCAGCAATGGTCAGATGGTTGAGGAAAGCGATGAGGAGGTGTGCCTGAGCAGTCTAGAGTGTCTGCGCAACCAGTGCTTTGACCTGGCGCGCAAACTGAGCGAAACAAAGCCAGCCGAGCGCTTCAACCACAACCAGGAGGGCCACCAGCTACACCATGACACTTTGGTACACCAGGGGGGCTATGGAGACTGTCAGGAGCAACAGAACACTGAGGAACGACGTGTCTTGGAGCGCAACTACTCAGACATGGTGAACCTGATGAAGCTGGAGGAGCAGCTCAGCCCTCGCTCCAAAACCTTGTCCAGTTGCGCCCGGGAGTATGACAGTTACCATGATCGTGACGAGGACACTACCTCCATCGCCTCGGACCGCTCCGAGGAAGTGTTCGACATGACCAAGGGCAATCTGTCGCTCCTGGAGAAGGCCATAGCGCTGGAGTCTGAGCGGGCCAAGGCCATGAGAGATAAGATGGCCTCGGAGGCGGCCAGGAGGGACAGACTGCAGCTCCATGAGGAGAATCATGGCCTGAGGCTCAGCTGTGCAGAGGAGCGCAAAGCGAGGCTACATCATGACAGCCTCAAGAAGCCGTACTATCATAAAGGTGGGTGAGCATTCTCTCACTATGGTCTTGTGACACTGACTATGGAACGACTGATGTTTTTGGATGATACTTGATGATGCTTAAATATAAAGGTGCCAAAAAGGGTTTTTTTCCATGGATGAACTACTTTTGGTTTCCTATATAATCTTTCAGAATCATTTCACAGATTTAAGCGAATTTCTGAAAAGTTGGTGAAAAAAAATACAAATGAATCAGTGTTTCTGTCCACTGTGGTTATGTGCAATTTCCTGAAGATGACGTGACATGCTCACAATGTGTGGTATATACAATGCAGAGATTTGAACCTTTATTAGCTCTCTGTAGAGCAGTTGTGACAGCTCTCTGTCAGCTGTACATTGCTGTAGCCTAAACTGTTCAGAAACACTAAGCAGAGCAGGCAGTGGCCTATTTAATGAGGGCTAAAGTTGTTCTCCCACTTTGCCTTTTCCCATCAAAACCTTAGGAATGTTACCAGGGCAAACATGTCAAGTGATGCTAAATCATCACTTATTTGAAACATCTACTCCCATCATCATTTTTGTATTTGTCTTTTATAGATAACACATTTTCCATTTTTTGTGATACTTTCCAGTTGCCAGATTTTTATTTTTTTTTGCTTTTCCATCCTGTTTTTTGTTATTTTCAAAATTGTGTATTTTCAAAATTCTTAAAAAAGAGGTGGATGGAAATTCATTACTTATTACTTGACTTCTTCATTACTCTTTAAAACCCATTCAAATCTGTACCAACTGGAAAGTACAAGATAAACCCAATGGTTCATTTCAGTCCAAAATATATTTAGAAAGAAATAGCCAATTACAGAAAACATCACTGTCAATATCTCTGCCTTTGAACAAGAGACAGCTTGATTATGCTTAATTATGCTTGATTAAAATTTTGAACAACTAATGCTGTTAGACAGCCTAGAAACTATCCAGTAGAAATGGTCCAAAAACAAGAAATACAATCTTTATAAATAAACAGTAAAGCTTATAGAGCTGCTCCTGAATGCTGATCAAGTCTGGTCTGTGTAGGCGAGGCTCTTCAGTCTGGGAATTTTTATCCATCAGTTTCATTTTAGCATGATGAGCTACTTTGACATGATAATCTATATAGAGAAAAAAATGCATTGCGCATAATTAATATTGCTCTGTTAGAGACATATGACTAATGCAAGTAATGTCATGCTTATAAGATCAGTCATTACAAGAATTTAAACTGTAAAGCATTACACTATTTTGTCACAGGAAGAAAGTGATCAAAGTAATGTGTAACTTTGTACTGCCATTGCCATGTGAGTAAGATGTGCTAGTGTGAAGAACTTTTTTAAAGTAATCAAATGTCTATACAATGAAGAAATATTTAAGCACTGTTAAGCCTGCAGTTCAGCGCTGTCAAACGAAACCTTGCAGCTCTATTTATTTTGGCTTTTAATTTTTTTACCATTTGAAAACACCAGCTGCCAACAATATGAATGTTTCCTGACAAATAGAGATGGCTACGATCTGATACCAGGTACCGGTATAAAACCGATATGAGCAGAAATGCTGGATCAGACTTTGGAGGGAAAAAAGAATGTATCTGATTCAATCTTGTAACAAATCTAGTAGCATATATTCCCAAGATGTGATGTCATGTTGTTTGCTGTGTAGTAGTTAAAGCATGATAGCGTCTTTTAGATGCTCATCATAAATTAAGTGCTCAATTAATAATAGGTCATTTTAAAACGTTGTGGTTTGTAAAGAAAAAACATTGGATAGTATTAGCCAATACTCAAGGTTCCAATATCGGTAGGTGCCATCACTAATGATGAATAGACTAATGGATATTAAAGAGTGAAAATTAAACCTTTCAAAAGTGCCCCTTCTTATGTCAAAGAACAGAGCTTGTTTCCCTTCTCTTCCTTTTTTCTGTTCCCTTTTCCCTTCTCATTTTCTAATGACAGCAGTGAATTGCTAGGCCTTGAGTAGTATGAGAATGTTGCAGTAGTGCAAATAGATACATTTAGAACACCCTTGGGGCAACATACTGTACAGACATAGCATCGTATGGTGATGCTCTATAGAGTACATAAGGCTTCTGTAAAATAATACTGTGTAGCTGAAGTGGTAGTGCGCAATTTGCTGTTGTACATTCTCTCGCTCACATGCACATGGGGGACCTCGCTGTGACCCTGGGACAAGCTTTCTCAACCAATTTGAACATTCCCATCCCTGCGGTGCAGGCAGCAGTGGCTCATGTTGTTCAAATAGGCCAGCATGGCCACATCAGAGCCTGGGCCTGTCAGGCATAAGTAATGGCAATCTTCACGGGCCGGGAGGACAGCAGATCTCTTCCCTGGGATGTAGCCAGTGCTCAAGCTAGCTATTTAAAAATCCAGAGAAGGATTCTACTAGGAAATATTCTGTAGCTTTAACGCTGGAGAACAAGCACACAGTGAAGGACCTGAAATAGCATATACCAAATTAGCCTGTGCAGCGTCAACAGGGTAAATTTAGTGAATGCTACTGCTAAAGCCTGTATAAACTGATTCCAGCAGAAATGTTCTTGTGGATCATCATGTATTTGAGTGAATGTAATAATAATTGTAACATATGAAATATTACTGTGTATGTACAGGATCTTAGTTTCCAAAGTAGTTCTTCAAGTAGATCAAACTCTGGAGACGACATGCTAAAATCTAGCTTAATGCATGTCCAAAGCCATGCTAATGTCATGCTGACATTTGCAGGCAGATAATTCCTCCTTTAAGATCATTTCGCCATCTTAACATCACTTATTATCCCCCTTTTTATACACAGACATCATGGTAGATGTTTCATCAGGGCTACATATCTAAACTAGCCGTTCTCTCATGCTGCGAGGGAGGGGAATACGCTAGCAGCCCACACCAAAGGACGTCTTGGCTGGCATGCTGGGCAGACTCTATCTCTCTAATGTCGGAATAATGAGGGATGCACGGCCATTACGTCACGATAACATCTCTCCCCAGCACAGATAGCGGCAGCCGCTGCCTGACCAGGGGGCATTATGATTTATAAAAGTGTGCCGGGCTGACAGTTATGGAAGGAATTCCTCCTTAAAGAAGGCACGAGGCGGAGATGGAAATTGAACAGTATCAGTATGACCGATAACGAACGACAGGACCACTGACTGCACATTAATTATCCCCAGACGCTATGGTAATGGGGGCCATTTGCTATGCAAAGCGTGGCTTGTCCCGAGCCACAATCGATATCCAGCGCTTTCTAATGCGCATTCCACTCCTCCGCTCCGCTCTGTTTAGGCTGCTGTGAAACAGCTGCAGCAGGGAGTCTGGCAGCAGGACGTGAATGTAGGTTGAGGATGTGGGTTTATGTTCAGTTAGCATATTGTTGTAAAACCTTATATGTCTGAAATGGCAACTTTATGAGATGGAAAAAAAACATCCTTAAACAAGATTTTATCCAATTTTTATTTGGACCATTTCTGTCAATATAATGACATCTTATTGTTCACTCCTGAGCATTAGCCCTGTTTTAAGGAGATCACATGCTCAATCCCTGGTGATGCCACAGCCATCTGTGAGTCCAAGAGAGCATAACTGGCCTCACCCTTTCTGGGTGGGTAGGATGGTCTTCCCTTTTCCAGTCACTGTTAGCTGAATAACATTGGACATGTTAAACTGTCCATTGACATAAGGGCAGTTGGAAAAGATGCAGTGGATCTTTACATGTCTTGGAGAAAGTATGTGCGCAACTTTACCCACCCATCGTTTAAAAGGGGGAGACCGAACTAGGAGGTGGAATATGACATTACTAAATTGGGTAAAACTACAACAATAAAAATAATTAGCAGTGACGATACAGGTAAGTCCAAAGCTTTTTAAACATGCCACACTGGTTTCAAAGGCTTGTGTTCCAAATAAATAAATAGATAAATAAATGAATAAATAAATAACCACATGACATTTAGGTTTCATTGGATGTTCCTGTTAAGCTTTTCTCAATTTGTTCTCAATTAGAAGAACAGCTCAGCTAAACACTGTAGTTGGGTTTCCATCCATGTATTTTTATGCATATTTTGCCATAATAAATAAAAAGACTCATAAGGAAAAAATGGGAGAAAAAGGAAAATTGCAATCTACATATAAAAGTTTGTTTTACCAGTAAAAAAACAAATGCTAAATATTAAGTAATGTAAATGCAAATATGTCATATTTGTCCATGTACCTATGAAATATGATAGAAGACAACAGGTCCCATCAGCGGGCCCCCTATAACCTAAGAGTAGCTCAACCTGTTTGCATTGAAGTCCCTGTAGTTACTGAATGTAGTTACTGAATAATAAACCTTAGTATGTAATAAGCCTGGGATTTTAAGGGGATAAAATATCCCTTATCTCATCAAAGAAAGAAACATAGCGGTGGTAGTAGACAATAAACAGACAGAAAATGCATGTGTGTATTAATGGACATTTCCTCAGGCACTGTGTTCTGTTACCATGCACTTATGATGTGAAATCCAAAAATGCAGCCATAAAATTAAATAAAACAGCAACAAGATGTTGCTCAACAGTAAATTTCTCTGTAAACTCGCTCCATATTTCTCAGAAGAGTTTTATGGATGTGACGTAGAGTTTTCATTTCTGGTAGAGTGTTGATGGAAACCCAGATTGAACTGCATGTTTTTTTTTCAATATTTCAATTATTTGCTTGAATTTCATTCGACAGTTGGATGGAAATTTGGCTTGTGACGCATTTAAAAAATGTTAGAGAAAAGTCTTTAAAACCTAAACTATGTAGGTAAATTAATATTTATGAGAATGTTATGGGTTGAAAAGGCCTAAAGATGCTTCATCGCCTCACAGTATATGTACTGTATGTGAATGCTAGAAGTGTTCTGATTGTATTGTTGATTTTTTTTTTACATTCATTCCACTTCCAAGTCAGCTCAGTCTCGCTCTCTCTCTGTCTCTCTCTCTCTCTCTCTCTCTCTCTCTCTCTCTCTCTCTCTCTCTGTCACCGTCCACTCTGTCTCTCTCCTGCTGTTGTTTCCCACTGTCTGGACTTATTTTGATACAGAAGGCTATATGATGCTGGTTACCAGGTTACACTCTGCTTGAAATTTTAATCAGCGGTCTCTCTCTCTCTCTCACACACACACACAGACACACACACACACACGTCTCCTATGGACCCTCTCTGAATAACAATAAAATTCCCTCCTCAGTAGATGTACAAATAGGTCTTCAGTAGTTATTGATGAGACTTTTCTGAATCCAGTATCAGTTCACATACACTAACAAAGATAAAGCGTTGCCTCTATGGCAATATGATCATTTCTAACTGTGTGTAAAAAAAAGAGATAAAATGGCAGCTTGCCTGTCCCAATTTTCACCACATCCACCAGTGCAGAAATCGGCATCAGCACACACAGACAAACATATGGCTCCCCATCCAACCTAGAAAGAGAAGCACGTTTGCAGTCTTCAGTGTGTATATGTGGGTTTACTGATCCATAAACATTATCAGCATCAACAGTACTGATATCACAGAATAAAGGCATTCCAACAATTCATTTTATTCTAATATAATGCAGGCCAGTCTTTCACCATGTCACATTAAGGATTCACACAGAGATCTGTGCCTTCAATATGGCCAAGTGCAAAAGTTTGAACACCCAAGAGCAATGAATCTCCTAGAACCCAAGCCGACCAATGAGCTCTGTTCTGAGGGCAAGGCTGAGCCTTATCTTGAAGAATGAAGGACATGATATAAAATACAGTTACTATACGTGCCAAACAAGAGGGCTCTTGTACAGTCTGGGGGTAAAGGGGTAGGGGCTCAAGCCCCCCAGGGTCTATCTGTACACATGCCTGACTGTAAATAGATAATTACAGTGTATCAACCCTCATTTAATAACTTCTTGGTGTTCCCAAAAAACTTTCAATATTGAATAAAACACTTTGAGATACCTTGCATCTGTAGTAATACACTGTTTAGGTTATTATTGAATACAATAGCAGCAAATATTAATATACCGAGAAGGGTGGGCAACACGACGATACGCCATGTACCAAACCTATTTCTTTACAGTTAATGTGAATGGGAACATCTGTGTGGTGGGTGTGACCCTGTGTCATTTTGAGGCAATATTTCCTTAAATATGCTCATACATCTGCATGTCTAGGGCTGATGAGTCACTTTTCAAATGCAGTTAAGGTACTCATCAAATGCATGGTGCTGTTGGCGACATTTACAGCTCCTTCTGCATTGCATGTTTGTGTATAGATTCTTCAAGGTCAGAGAAGAAAGAGAGCCGGTGCCCAACACCGGGTTGTGACGGCACAGGTCACGTGACTGGGCTGTACCCTCACCATCGAAGCCTGTCTGGATGCCCTCATAAAGACAGGGTCCCTCCAGAAAGTAAGTACTCCAGACCTCTACACACACCTCTCTGCCTGCTGCCGTGGCTTGGTGTAATGATCCTTTTGTTCAGTCTCTGTGTAACAGTTTCTTTTGTTGTGGTCACCGGTCAGAATGTGTTTTTATGTGTTTGAAGGTTCAAGGCCTTTTCTTTGAGTGGCATGGCTAATGTTTAGCACGTCTGCATGGATTCATTACAGGAGCTTCTTTTCTCCTGTATCTGTGTTCTTGCTTATGCATTATGTTGCGTTTACATTATGATGGTAGGCAAACTTTTTGAGTCACCCTGTAAAGAATGCATGGGTCTGATTTCACAGGAGTTTTTTGGACCATGTCATTCATCTTTACGGATTAACATCACATGTACAGGCTCAAAAAGGTCTGGCTCAATCTTCAGGTTTCAAATGCAAAATCAACATTACACTGATGAATTTATGATGACAATAGTGGAAGTGAACACATTCTTCACCAAGTTTTGACTGAGTTCTCTTTGCATACTCTTTCAAACCATAATCATCAGATTCGTATGTTTGGGGAAGAGGTCAGAAGCACAAACAACATGACAAAATGCACAAAATCCACCAAATCCCCAAATCTTACATAGTGCAGCCTTAGTATGGAATAATGTTTTTTTCACCACTGACATATAAACACAGAATTAGAGGTGTAACGAGTTTCACGATATGTATACATAAATAAAAAAAGAAATTATTTTTTGATTATAGATCGGTTGCCAAAACAAGACTGCAGCACATGGTGAAAACATAATTAACACTGACAAGTAATTTGCTTAGAAGATAATTAAACACAGACAAAGTGTAAATGGGTTCAGGTGTAGTGCAGGAGAGTGTTTTTTCTTTAGAAACATCATGGATTGCTATGAAATCCAATAGTATATTTGTTACAAATATGTTTGTAGCATAAAATCTTACTGTATTCAGTTCACATTGTGTATTAGCTCACAACCCCATATGAAAAATATTGAACATCAATATGTGTGAAAGCCCTATTTTTGTGAGTTGCCTTTGTTCAGTCAGTGCTTTTCTGTCTTTTAAGGCCTTTTTTGCTCGAGTGGCATGGCGAAGTGTATCTGCATGGATTCATGACTGCTTCTTTTCCTGTTTGGATTAGGGCTGCACTGATATGAGAATTGTGGGCTGATACTGATACCTGAGATTGTTCAAACACATATTTGTAAATGCTGATGCATAAACATTTACAAAATGTAGAAAATGGGTCTACATTCACATGAATTACAATAATAGTGAAATATAACATTTTTCAGTTTACAGTTACAAATGCTGTAAAATTAATTAAATGCAGATACTTTAGTAAAGTAGTCCATATCACCTGAACCGTCAGCTCTTCTGCAGGTCAATAAATCCATAATCAAATATCGCTTTAACATATTGGTCAAATCTAAACATCCGATGCTTATCATTTTTTTCTGCTGATACCGACATGATTCTGATACCATTGTGCATCCCTAGTTTCTGTATTCGTTATTTTGCACGTTGGCTAAAACTAAATGCCATTTTTTTCAATGTAAATACTGCAAAGCTGCGGTTTGGGACCATCATTTTATGGCGTTGTGGAAGGAAGCGCAAATATAACGCAAACAAATGCTGCTTTCTCTAATTTATCACCTCACTTCTCAAAGCATGAACATATTTATTGTTTGTATTTGATGATAATTAAGACCACATCTTATGCTTTTTTTAATAAGGCAGTTAGATTTGTTTTGCTTTATTTGCTCAATTAAATCCACTTGAATAAGCTGTAATAATTGCAGCTCAGTCTAGCTTACATATCTGCAGCGAGGGCTGTAAACAGAAAGGGTGGCAATCTTCTTCTCGCTCACTGCTTTCATTCACCTTGTGCAAATCCCCCAATAAAGCATCTTTTACACGATTCATTAAACCACAGAGAGGAATCTCACGTTATGGTCGCAAATGACCCAGACGGCAATCAAACCAACTGACAGCTTTAATGACAGCCCAGAAAATTAGTTAACATAAAAGATTTGCCTATAAAGTGTCCAGATGTCAAGAGGTGTAATTTGAGCCGCCTGGGAGGCAAGAGTTCATGGAATGCCGAGGGACACCTGGAATGACCTCAGGATTAGCTCATATGCTTTACCCAGATGTGGAACTTACGAATGCTGTTTTTAATGGTTAGTTGATGTGCTGCTTTTGGTAACACAAGTAGCATAACAGTGCAGAGAGGATTTACATGTCTCAGAGGAAGCATGTGCTAGCTGTCATCCCTCCAGCTTGGTAATATTGAGTGATGGGGAGACCTAGCTAGTGGGTGGAAATGGACTTGACTATACTGGGAGAGAAAATTGGCTAACACCCTAAAAAAAGGGAACCAAAAGAGAATGATTTTCATCTCCAAAGCTGTAGTTGCTTCAGCCTAATTGATCTATCCCTGCCCCGCCCACAGAGGTGGTCTCTAAAGGTTAACACTTATGCTCTACTGTGATAGATTGTAGCTGTGTTGTTGTGTAATCGAGCTGTGCAAGAGATTAGCATTAGTTGTTTCCAACCCTAGTTTTGATTACCTGCAACAACATACTCCAGCTCAGTATCATAGCTTTTTAAACTCAACCTTAAACTCAATGTGTAGAAATATAAGCACATTTAATGTTGATTCGTTTATTTGTTAATTTTGCCAACATTCTGTAAAGCTTGTCTAGCATTGCAACAGTGGCTACAAAAGAGCACATTTATGGCCACATATGGGTAGATTAGTTATCACAAAGTTTAAAGTTTGCCTTTTTTAGCACGTATGGTCTAGATGGCACCAAACAGGCCATTTTCAGGGCAAAACAAGAATGGAGAATTCAGTATTCTGAGAATGTACTCGGGCAATTCAATAAGAGAACCGAGTGAATGGCAGCCTAATTTAGCCATCATTTGCACAAGATTTCCCCTGGAACGTCCGTGTGCATGGTGAATTGTAAACAGAATGAAGACACAGCATCAATAATATATTGTCCAGTCTAAATGATAAATGTGTTATAAGGAGGCAGGGCTTCACTGTATGTGCCGCGGCCTGTTTGTCTGTCTCACACACACACACACACACACGCACACACACACGCACACACACACACACACACACACACATACACACACACACACACACATACACACACAGACGGCGGGGAGTGCTGCGCTCTCTGGGCAGTTTATTGAGCACACATTGACAGGAGAAGAGGTCCTTTGCAGCTGCTCCATTGCACATAATGCATTTTTTAGCAGCGGCCTGTCGATAACTCGACATGCTCACAACAGGTCACCTTTCAATGGCACTGGATGTACCACAGGGTAGGTAAAGAGCAGAGAACAATTTATTAGAGGTCTGTGAGAAAGAAAGTGTGTGTTTGTTTTAGTACATTTTAAGGACTAACCTTCAACAAAATGGTCCTAACTTTATAGAAAAGCTGTTTAATTTAAGGCTTAGATAAGAGAAGTTAAGATTAGGGTTAGAAAATGGGTTTGGTGCCTCTGGTCAAATTATATGTTTACATTTGAGAGAGATAACCTTACTAACATATATATTTTTTATTATTATTATTGCTGCTGTTGCTTACATGTGACTGAAATTCAAAAGACAGCTATGGACTGTCGAACGAGGACGAGACCTTTCATTCACCCGTCATCGCATATTGCAGTCATTTCATTATTTTTTTTTACATTTAATGATGAACATATCATAATATAGCAATATTTAATGCAGATATCTTTGTCTCATAAATAGCTTTTACTTATCAAATTACTAGCACGGCAATAATGTGAAATTATACTACCATCTCTGTGATTTCCCGTGTTATGTTAGCATCAAGGTAACAGTGCCACACGTTTGTTTACCCTCACTGGGTTTAATACTACTTGAAGCTTGTGGGACTTTTACTTAACGTATTCTTTACTTTGTATGTTGCAGTTTTAGATCAGTTATTACTCGATTCACAACCTAACACTGAAAATTAATAGAGGAGCTGAGTTGATCAGCAGTAGTTGTTCATAATTTTTACATTAACTATGTTTAATACTGCTTTGTGCCCTTTTACTTCATATGCACAGCAAGGCTTGGTCCCATTTATCACTGTGCATGGTGGTACGTGCAAGCGACACAATAGCACATGAATGGCGTGTACAGAATTTAGATGTTGTGAGGTGGTTATAGGTGTATGTGGCCTAGACTGAATCTAGACTGATGTGTTTTATAATATCCATTTAATTACCGATTAGGATTTTATCTTCCTTAGTACATTTTTAGAAACACAGCAAAAAAATGAATTGAGCTGTTGGACTTGCAAACTGAAAGTATACCAAAACGTAATAGATTGCATTATATGTTGAGGTAACAAAGTCTGTATATAGTCTGTATACACTGACTCTGTTAACCATAAGCCTACACTCTTAAAAAATAAAGGTGCCGAAAAGGATTCTTTGTGTATAACCATAGAGCAGAATCCAGACCATGGTAGGTATGACACCAGGTCACGGGTCGGCAACATGTGGCTCTGGAGCCACATTCGGTTCTTTTACTGGCCCTGTGCGGCTCCACAGCAGAATTAGCAAAAATAAATTAATCCTCTATTGCAATAAAATAATGCTTTGTGGTAAAATAAAGCTTTACTGAGTGGACTAACACACAGCTCTAAAACTCTGGAATTAATGTAGAACTGCTAATTCACTAACCTTTAACCTTGAGGATTGGTGCGCAGACTGCAGGCAGCAATCCTGCCTAGTTAGTAGCTAACGAAATGGCAAAGAAGAGAACGATTTAAGACAAACATTGAGAATTTAGAGATTAAACTCATTTGCATTTAAATGCACTCCAGCTGGTTTCCCGATATGTTTCATCTGCAATGTGAAACTGTAAACCACCAAGAAGTCGAACATTGACATACATTTAACAAGAAATCTTTCTACTTTTGCAGAAACGTATCCTGCCAGAGATGCGGACAAAGCAGCTACAACTGAGCTAAAGCTTAAAGCAGAGCAAATTAAGTCTGTATTTTCATTTATATTTTTTGCCTATACGAGGGCATTAGCACATACTGAGACATGTTTACAGCCAAGATGTTAAAATGTTACACCAATAAAATAGACATAAAATGTTGTGGCTCCCAAGGTGGTTTAACTTTTGTTAAAACAGAACAAAATAGCTCTTCTTAACATTTGGTTTGCCGACCCCTGCACTAGGTAGCCAATCAGTTTAATCAGTGATTCAGTTAACTACCAGTGAGTACAAAACCCAGGACCAGAAACTGGACTTAATATGCAGAATCTGTTTGAAAAAGGGTTAAGAAAGAACTGTTAAATTGGTAAATAATTCACTATGTGAAGGTTTTTTGAATCTTAAAAAGTTCTTCACACTCACAAATCTTTGTATCAAACATGGTTCTTTAGGGTAGCCAGAGGGTTCTTCTTTGTCATTACTTAAAGAACCCTTTGTGGCACCTTTTTTTAAGAGTGTAAACATACCTCAAGTAAACAGGTCAAAGCAGCACAATGCATACTTCTTGCCATGTTCATTAAAACACACCCTGATGTATTTTATACTCTGGGATCTGGCACATCTCTGGGTGATAGGCCTGGTCCAATTAAGCCCAGTGTAGAGTAATTAAAATGTCAGCGAGTGGAGAGGATGAGGGTGAGGGTTTAAGGAGGTGATGATGAAGACGTGAAGAGAAAGAGCGTACGTCAGCCTCCCCTCCCACACACACCCCTCCGCACACTCCATGCCCCTTCCTTCTGTCCTCTCTCCACTTCCGAAAGATCATTAACCTAATTGGTGCCAGTGGGGATCTCAGGCCGACGTGGACAGTTTTTATGGCGAGAGTTATTGAAGACGAAGGCTTGTTAAAGACCGAGGCCAGTAACAGCGCTTCAGACGTGAGGGAGACACTTTTTTGCTGTCGCTTCGTGATTCCCTCCAGTTCTGATCTGATGTGTCCTTAGTGCTGAAAGTTATTGAAAGGAAAGTCCAGGCACAGTCGTCCTAATAAGATGCAAGAATAGTAACGTCTTACTCCAGCTGGCTAGTTATAATAAGTTCCTGAAGCTGAAAGCCTATGCTAAGATTAGCTGACAGCTGAGGATGGAGAGTGTAATCAGAACTGGACCACTTCTTGTAGGTGTCGTTTTATATTGGTCATCATTGTTCATAGTGACATGTTGAGTTAAGGGGCATAGTATAGCTGTGGCTGAACTGTCCAGGTAAATCTAGTGATAAACTCAATGCAAAAGGCAGGTTTTCTAAGTCAATCACTAAAACTCAGTAACGTTAATTAAAATGTACCTTCTCGTTGTGCTGTCAGCTTGGCAAATACTCAGTGATAATAGAGCCTGATAGTGACACCAATGTATGTGCATTTTTGCTACATACAGTTGAAAATATTATGAAATCTTTGAAAGGATATGCTTGGTTTGCTACTGTTCATTTAACTCAGTCTTTTTATTGGTTTAAAAAAAAAAACTGACTGCACTATAAACTCAAAGTTACTCACTCACTCATCATCTAAGCTTAAATAAAGATAATCTGTTCACCTGATATTATAAGTTCATGAACTCATGAAAAGTTTGTTGCGTTTAAATGCATAATATTTAAATTATTGAGAAATGTGACACCTAAATGTTCAGTTGATGGAGCGCAAAATATTTATTTCGATCACACTCAAAAATTTAGAACTGGCTCTTGTATGTGTTAAGAAAACAGGTCAAGCTGTTGTCTTTTTTGATAATTTCATGCATTTAAATGGGATCTTTGAGTTGAATCACCATATTGAAAATTTAGTCTGCTGCTATTAGCAGCCTGAGAGACAAGATTTTATTGGCTTCTGGCTCCATCTGTTTGCATATACACTCTCAGAAATAAAGGTAGTAAACTGTCACTGGGGCAGGACCCCTCTTGTCACTGGGGTGGTACCCTCAAGGGTACATCTCAGCACCTTTAGTCAGGAAACATAATTGTACCATAATCCATTGAAATTATATTTTCTATTGACTCCACACACCCCGTCTCATCTCCAGGCTTTTTATTTTATTGTTCTGTTTTAAAACAGGTTATGAAAAGGTACAAGTACGTACTTTTCACCTGGGAAGAAACTTATTTTAGGTGCACAGATGGTCCTTAAAACCACTGTTGTACCTTTGAGGGAACATTTACATTGTTTGTACCTTGATGAACGAAAAATGTGCCTGCACAGAACCTTTATTTCTAACACTGTGGGTCATATCTTTATCCTTGTTTTACTCACCATCTCTGTGTTGTCTTTCTCCAAGACTATCTTTCTTTGAGTGTGTGCTTATGTTCTGTGTTTTGGTAAATTGCCTAGCCTGGTCACTGCCTGGCCATTACAGTGACTGCTTTTACCCCAACTCTAGTAAGATAAATTGGTCAAAAGTTAAATCAGTGAAATCAGCACTAGTAAACAAAGTCAATGAGTTGAGTTGGAAATGAGATAGTGGATTAAGTTTAGTTAAGTTTAGCTACCTTTAGTAAATTATGTTGAATCAACAAAATTGCCATTTTGAAATTACACGTGACTAAATATTTTGTGACAAATTATTGCCTCAGGAGAACATGTTATGAATGCACATACAGCTGCTTACTCAAAGCATTTAAGCAACATTAGGTGATGATAGCACTAACATTGGTATTGAAGAGCACCAGTTAATAAGAAATAAGTTAATAAATTAATTAAATAAGAAAAATAAGAGCTGATTTACAGAAACCAACAAAACCCCTAAGAATACTGGGAAGCTCCACCTTCTCTACTATGTCAAAGTCATTAAATCTGAGGTTATCAGTTGCATAAACTGAAGAGGAAGAAGACATTTTTAAACACTCTTGATATGTTTTCTTCAGCATAACGGTTGAATATGTTTTTCGCTTTCTTTAGTCAATACAACTGACGGATTTCAGCTTTGAGGTTAACTATGTACTCGATTAAGCATCAAATTAATCAGTAGATTACTTTGTTACTAATATAATCAATAGTGACTGCATTAATCGTTTCCACTCACCTCCTGAACGTTCACTGATTTCCGCTGTCTTGTAAATGGCACGCTAAATGTGCATGTTCTCTATGGCCTTGCATGCAGCTTGGTTTCTCTACTTGAACGCACTGATAATAATGAAGGCATTCACATGAACTCGGATGACTAACTCAACTGCCTCCCTAACTCTCCCTGTCTTCCACTCCTTCTCTTTTCTGCTGTCAAGTTCTTGCAATGCATGAAAATGTTCTTAAGTGTCCTACACCTGGCTGCACTGGACGCGGCCATGTCAATAGCAACAGGAACTCTCACCGGAGGTAAGTGCTTTCAGTCTGGCCAGCCGTTATGAACTCCCAGCTCTGTTCTTCTGCTTACTGCATGCTGGACATCTTCGTTCTTTCATTCTTTCTTTCTTTACTTTTTTGTTCTCTTCGTTTGATTATTTTTGCAAGGACGTTATTTACTCCAGCTGCCACTTTATTTATTTATTACTTTGTTTATTTTGCTTTATTTATTTTTGTTTTGCAGAGTCATCAACTTTGCTGGTCACCCCCTTTTTTTGGAAAAATATCTCAGTGAATAACAGCTTATTATGAAACTTGTGTATGAAAATATGTATGTTCCTGTAAGTCTGATTTCAGAATTCTGTGCATATGACAAGTCTAACTGACTTTAAATGCTCAGTCACGCATAAGCACCTTACAATTCCCTTTCTATTTATATGTAATTACATGATTACATAATTACATTGTTAGTTACTTAATGAATAGCATTTATATTCACTTTACATGCTATATCCTTTCATGACTGCACTTCTGACCCTTTCATTTTAATTATGTTAAAGAAATGTTATGTTAATAATTATGTTAAGTGAAATCATGAGAAAATATCTCTTCTGTTACTTACAAACACAAATGTAATTTAATTGAAGTTTAGAATCTGCATTTGTCTTTTAATTATACTTACGTTTGTTTTACATGATGTATTGACAGGTTCAGTTCATTTTATCTGTTTTGATGCCAAAAAATGACAAAAACATAATAAAAATAAAAATAAAATGTTTGTACTATTAGTCTCCCTAATAACATTATAATTAATGTGTAGTTATATTATAATTGCATAATGAATTGCATAGTTGTTATTTAATTGCATATTATGCATCTAATTGCATTCATATTCTGTATTAGCAGGTTCAGTTTTGCCATTATGTCCTGTTTGTTTTGATGCACCAAATATTACAAAAACATAATAAAAATGCATAGAATGTATGTACTATTAGTCTCCCTTAAGAACATTATTTTTAATGTGTAATTATGTTATAATTACACAATTAAATGCATAGTTAGTTCTGTATCTAATTGCATTCATATTCTATATTTGCTGGTTAAATTTTGCTCTTCTGTCTTTTTTCTGTTTGTTTTGATGACAAAAATGTGCCAAAAAATCATATAGAAATACCATAACTCTGCTTTCAGAATTCTATGCATATAATTAATCCCAGAACTGTCTTCAGTGGAGCGAATATTAGTGTTCAATTATTAGTAATACATAAAAAGCATAAAAGAAGATTCCTACTAATCTCACCCTATAGATGTCTCAAGGCTGATGAGTTCTGATCTCGCAGTCTTTCACCTTAATGCCCATAATTCTATTCTGGGTTGAGGTGCAGTGGAGGTGTGAGTGCAGCCAGCTGGTGTGGGACGGCAGGCGTAGCAGCAGCCATTAGCACCTCGGTGACACCCAGGCAGGAGAGCCAGCCCGCTGCAGCCTCGCCCTCAGACCCAGCACCACCTGCACATCGCACAACGCACGCAAACATGCACATGCAAATGCACACGCTCAACTCTCACCTGTGCACTCACAAGACTGAAAGTGTGTATACTCAGAGCCCACAGCAAATTGGCAGTTTCTCTCGTGTCATTCACACCTACTCAGACCTTCCTGCAGACCTAGGCGTTCCTTACATCGCATGCCAAAGAGTGAAAATACTGAGCTTGATTTAATCTTGCTGGATTGTCACAGGTGGTGCACAATTTTACAAATGAGCCTGATTTCACATCAGCTAGCAGGTCGGAAAGCTACTTCAGTGTTGAATGTCTCCTTTTAGAAGCAGCAATTTAAAATGCAGGAGGCCAGAAATTAGTCTTCCATCAAGACTTCGACTGAGACACAGTAAAGCTGGAGCTGTTGCACTGAATGGGTTTCCCTTATGATTGTACTGTTTGCTAATAGACTCTCCAGTGTATGCAGAGCAAAATCACACTCTTTTTTATTGTGTTGATACAGCCTCTCGGGATGCCCAATAGCAGCCGCTGAGAAGCTGGCCAAAGCCCACGAGAAACACCAAGCTTGCAATGGAACCAAGTCCAACCAGGCATCGGACCGAGTGCTGAGGTAACTATCTAACTATGCTAACTGCATTTACCAGCAATTGTCCAGTACAGCAGGAAGCACTCTTGTATCTGGAAAGATTCTTTATTTCTTTATTACATTATGTCACATTATGTTTTCACATGATTTATGGCTTTGAATAAACACAGAATGGTTTCACTCCTAGAAGTCTACAGCTACAGTTATTGTCATTTTGCTATACTTTTCCTTTATATTACATAATTATTAATATGTCAATACGTAATTGCGTAAATAATTACTAAGTTTGTTATGGAATGAATTACATATACATTTTATTTACATTTACATTTCCTTTTTCGCATTTACGTGTGATTTTATCATGGCACAAATTTAGAACTTTTAATAGAAGCACTCTGCCTGTTTCAGTGATCTATGAGTGAGACAATAAAAGTATTATTTCAAATCATAAACAGTCCTATGCAAAGTTTTCCAGTCAAATTACATGTTTTGTTGATTTTCTAAGTGAAAATAAGTTAATCCATCCTCTACAGGGACAGACTTAAATATTTTTCTGCAAATGTTTGTGCACAATTTCAATTTATTTGAGTTTAAGGCAAAATATAAACAAAAAAATAAAGAAAACATAAAATATAAAATGTGCCAAAGCTAGATTTTATGTTTATTTTTCCCCAACATATTAAATTCAGCAAATAAACAGTAAGCGTGCATGAAAATGTGCAGAATTGAGTTCTCTAGAGACTTATTACTTATTACTAACTTATTTTTACTTAGACAAATAACAAAACGTCATTAGACCAGGGGTGTCCAAACTATTGCACATGATTGAAATCAGCAGTCCTAACTGGAAATATTTTGTTATTTTCTTTTCACGTTATTTGAGAACTCTTTACAGCATTGATCAAGTTTGAAATAAAAATGCACTGCTTAATACTGTGCTGTTCAAAATAGACCTGCTGCAATATTACATAATTGCTTGATCATAATTAGTTACCACAATTATTTTTCACAGTCACAAGTTTACATCATAACAGCCGGCAAAATATGTTTGGTTGAAGCAAATTCATGTAAATAAAAGAAGGCATGTGCCCTAATGTCTGACTCGATGCTGTAACACCTTTAGAGGGCAGCAGTGAGTCTGTTTATTTGAGCTTGTGTTGTGTCTGTTGGAAGTTACTGTCAACAGACAGCAAGCAACATATCTAATTAGCCAATCTGGCCATTTTTGGCTTGTACTTCCAAAAAAAATACAGTGAAATCGTTAATCACAATTACAGTCATATGCAAAAGTTGGTCAAGCCTGGTCAATCTACATGATTTGTTGTTTTTCTAAGTGAAAATAAGTTAACACATCCTCTACAGACAACACACTTCTCCAGATTTTAGTACACAATTACTGTTTATCCTCTGAACATATTTGGGAAAGAAACAATAAAACACAAAATGGCCTGTGCAAAGGCTATGACACCTTTTATATTCTATGTTTTATGTTACAATATGTTAAACTCAGAACATAAATAGAAACTGTGCAGTCAAATTGGCAGACAAATGCCATATTTAAGCCACATTAAGTTCAGCCTGCAGAGGATTTGTGCTAATTTCCACTCCGAAAATCAACAGAACATGCCATTTGACTGGTGTTCATATGGCATATGGCTATATTTATGTGACAGTTATCAGTCAACATTTCATGATAGTGACAGGCCTAGTACATTAAATGTATTTCACACTGCACTCCACAATGAAATCCTCTTGACCCTTGCATGATAAACTCCTGAAGGGACACATCTTGATCACACAGCTGTATGTGTTGATGTTGTAGGCCCATGTGCTTTGTGAAGCAGCTGGAGATCCCGCAGTATGGTTACAAGAACAACGTTCCCACCACCACCCCACGCTCCAACCTGGCCAAAGAGCTGGAGAAGTACTCCAAGACCAGCTTCGACTACAACGGCTACGACAACCAGAATGTGTACGGCAAACGTGCCATCGCGCCCAAGGTCCAGGGCCGAGACACATCGCCCAAGGGATATGATGGTAAGAAGAAAAAAACCACTTCACCCAACGCCATGACCTGTGCTTGGCCTCTCATCTATCCTGTTTCATTTGAGCTTCATGTAATTGTAGAGGGACACATTCATTAGTGAGTGAGCATTAATTTTCAGCACAAGGTAAAAGCTAGTAATTTATAATCTGAGCAACAAAAACGCATCTCTATCATGAACGGCTGAGCAAATTCAGTGACACCACAACTGCACTGTTTTATGAATGCTCCTGATGTCTTCCCCAAGCTTTGACCAGAGGAATGGAAATGTATGGAAATTATATAGCAGCAGATGCATAATGAATGGCTGGGTAGAGGCGAGTCAAGGTCTAGTCTTTGGGTCGCAGCTAATTGCAATTCTATGTGAATAGCAGTCAGCTCTCTAGCTGCACTTTAATGACTGAGAGAGGAGGGGGATATGGAAAGAGAGAGAGAGGCAGAGAGAGAGAGAGGGAGAGAGTGAGCGAGAGAGAGAGGGAGATGGCAGCAGGGCTCTCAGTGGGAGATGCCACTTTGATGCCCGGCTGGTGGCTGGGGCTCATTGTCCCTTTAGTCAGACGGAAAAGAGAGCAGCTTTCTCACCTTAAGCTCAAGGATGCAGCTCTCGACCCCCACCGCTTCTATTCTACCTCGCATTAATCAGCCAGTCGGAGAAATCATTGTGCGTTGGCATTAAGAGTGATCAGTGAACAGATAAAAGGTTTATCCCTCATTATTGGACTCTCTGCATGCTGCAAAATAAAAAGTATGTGCAAATAAGCAGATTATGATTGTGAAGGCTTTGTATTGTCTGTTTTTAATCCGGATGTGTTTATTCACATGTAGCCTTTTTAAAGTAATAGTCAAATGTACACATTTTTTTCTTTTATCTGAAATGTAGCATGGACAAAATTTCTGCTTCAAGAGAATAAACAGTAGTAATAGCCAACTTAAAGCCTCAAAGGAACATTCCAGCCTAAAACTAGCATGTAACATTTATAATTTGTCCTGTAAGATTCTGCAGCACAGCATTTCATCCCTCAGCCTCATCGGTTAATAGAATTTTGTATCCTTTTTGTATCCTCATCCATCAATTTTCTCTCACTACAATACCCAGCATGTATTAGGCAAATACATCATCGAACCACCAGGAAACCCCCAGTGTAACATTAGCTATCCAGCGTCCTTCTACATTAGGAAGTAGGGAAAAAAAAAACATTTCAAACAGCTCTGGACTACCCACCCAAAAGTTATACGTTTATAAGTATTGTATATTGTACTGCCACTTGTTTATACACCCATGTATATTGCACAAGTATTAACATAAGTTATCGTTTAAAGTGTTTAGTCACTCGGTTCATTCACGGGTCTAGACATGCACCACTGCACTGTCACCTGCATAATATCTATGCGATTTTACTTACAAATTTTTGTACTGCACATTATATTTTATGGTTGTTTTAGTATATTTTATTATATATCTTTGCACTTTCTAATTATGCATCTGTATAATAGTGTACGGCAATACTTTTGCTCTTGTTCTGCTCTTTACTGTATTTTGTGCTGCTATCTATCTATCGCTAGCTTAATTTTGACCACAGTGCCCCTTTAATTTTCTTCTGATTTTTGTCATGTTAATAGAGAACAATATTTCATACAGTGTTAGCAAGTTTACTTCAGATTACTTAATATCTTAGTGCAGATTGAGGGAAGTGCAAAACTAAAGAAGCAAGCTTCAGGCACCACTCAATTCTTGGATGATTGATTGCATTTAGACAAGGGGAATGTTATGCAAATCTGATTTTTCACCAAACTATTGCTTTGATTCTTTCAGCATTATATGTCCTTTGGCATAGATGTTGACAATTGGCCCATTTTAAATGTCTTTTTAGCCGTATATACATTGTTGTAACCAAATATTTTATCTCCAAAATGGCAATTTTTAAAAACATTCTCATCTTTAATGTATTTATATGGTGTAAAAATGTAACCAAAATGAATACAGAGCTTTATATGATACTCAGAATATGTTAAAAGCTATGTGTGTATATGTTTGTGAATCTCCTCAGCTAAACGTTACTGTAAGAACTCCAGCTCGGCGAGCAGCACAACTAGTAGCTACGCCCCCAGCAGCAGCAGCAGCAGCCTGAGCTGTGGAGGAGGAGGTGCAGGAGCAGGAGGAGGAGGAGGAGAGGGAGGAAGCAGTGCCAGCAGCACCTGCAGCAAAAGCAGCTTCGACTACACACACGACATGGAGGCCGCGCACATGGCCGCCACGGCCATCCTCAACCTGTCCACTCGCTGCAGGGAGATGCCTCAGAGCCTCACAGGCAAACCGCAGGAGCTCTGCACACGGGTACACGAGAGAGAGAGTGTGTGTGTATACTACCATTCAAAAGTTTGGAATCACTGTTTTCAGTGATGTAGTAATGTCAATAATAATATATAATATAAAGCACAACAGTGTTTTGGTGTAGATACATGTATACAGTGATTCTAATAGAATGCTAGTATTCTACAATTTCATTAGTTGGCACTATCATTACCAGGCCAGAGGTCCAAGCAAGAATAATTGGCCCATTTATACCCCAGTGATGTGGGGCCTGATGTGATCTTGTAACAAGAATGTCTCAGAACTTTTAGCATTGGATTGTGGCAAAATACTCCTCAAAGAAGGGTACACCCCCTCTAGAACCCACCCCCAATTTCTCTTTTAACACACACTGTACAATTGATAACACAAGCAAAACGAGCTAACTAAAAAAATTATCATTAGCTGATGAAACTGTTTTATTGTTTGCTAATGCAACTCTAATGTTACTTTTCATTCCAGGTGTGTTTTTTTCTGCACATGCAGTTGCATGCAGTTTTCTGGGGAACTTTTCAGCCACACTCACTTCCGTTACATCTATTGGCTAATAAATGGCTTGTTCAGTGAACAACGTCAACAAGCGCACTATTTCGCCACCTATTTTGAGCTCCATTTTTTACAAACATTGGATTGGTTTAGACATATCACACTCGGTTTGCCTGCACCCTAAAAATTCAATGTTCCCATCAACATTTAAAATTTCTATGGGTTGTCCCCAGACATTCTCATTACGAGATAATATCAGGTCCTCACAAGACCACCCTTCCTCCATCACTCAAAATTGGCAGTTAGTATTCTCCTCCAAGCGTGTTGAGCTGTCCAAACATAGTGCATTAGCAGCAGTTTGAAAGATGCAGCGACTAGATTCACATGTCTTGGAGGTGCTAGCCATCATCCTCCCAGCTTGGTAGCATTGTGTGATTAGGGGAGACCTAGTTAGTGAGTCGAACTGACAATGACTAAACTGGGGGGAAATTTAGTTAAGAATCCAACATTAAAAAGAATGAAAATATAATGAAATTAGTATCCAGAATCACTCATAGTGCAAAAGCAGTGATCAAATATTGCAGCAGACACAGTACTGTGCAAAGGTTTCAGGCCCAATAAATTAATATTTAAAAAGCTATTTATCTGGACAGTGAGCCTTTGTTTTCTCAGAAAAAAACACAAATATTAGAATAAATACAGATTATTTTATTACAACAAGTATTTGTTTTTGTTTCTTTAACCATTTCCAAAGCTCTCCTCGAAGAGGCCCAGTTATTTATCATCCAATCACTAGTTTGTCTACTCAGTATTTCATTAAGTTAAAGAAATCCGGAAACAAACTTGTGTTCTTCAAAATAGCTCATAAGAGATCAAGTACTTTTGATTCCCAAATATAACATGAAGTCTGCACTGTATGAGTTATTATTGTATTAAAAAAAAGTGAAACGACAAGTGCTTCCAACCTTTTAAATTGTAGTGTATGTACATGTGCATGTATGTTGTATGTTCTCTCTGTTCTGTGTTTCAAAAATTATCCCAACAAATCTCAAAACTCAGCAGATATCAGATATGCTCTTAGAACTTGTAGGTCCACACAGTATTGGCTGTGTCTGTGGGTGAGTTTGTGTGCTTTATCTATCTGCCTGTCTATTATGATATGCCAACCAGCAGATCAGAAGCTCAGGCTGTATTACAATACAATTACATCCGTTACTGCATGCAGTTAGTGAGCATTGTAGCCATTGTGCACATCCTAATAGGTCATTTTACCCATGGGTGAGTTAAAGAGGCGTCTGTGTGATGTGGACTTGGTGTAGTTTGTCGTCTGTGTGTGTGTGTGTGTGTGTGTGTGTGTGTGTGTGTGTGTGTGTGTCTTTGTGCAAGATGTTTTACAAGTGAAATTACCTTACAAAGGAATTGTCATCGGTTTGGATGTTATCAAGTAAAAATGAGCTGTGCTTAACTATAATGTCCTTAGAGCCATAAAGTAGAGTTTCATAAAAACTGAAGAGTTGTTATGCCTTAAAAGCAGACATTAGAGTTAAGCACAGCTCATTTCAACTTCATAACACCATATCTTGCCATTCTAGTTTGATTTGAAAACAGCAAGGCACTTCTTAGTGAACATCAAAACATAAGTTTAGTCCGCCTAAGCCATGGCAACTCTTTATTCCCCTTCTGTTTCTCTAGTGTTCACCAACAAGTGGTGCTAAGTGCAGGCAGTGTGGGGTCTTTAACCACAGAGGCATATTGCATTAAAAAGATGCCGTGTCTGCACTTTGGCATTCTACTTAGCAGGAGTGTCTCTCCCTTCCTGTGGCTTGATTAGATACCTACATGGATAGGGAAGGCACCTCTACGTGAGCACTGATGAGTACTTATTTGTAGAAAAGGTCACACCGATAAACACGAGGGGTTTAACTGCATCTGAAGATGATGATTCAATTGAATCACTTTTAAAATCAAGTGTAATTTTAACATTCAGTTTATTATATCATGATATTTTGGTCAAAATAACCATACAAAACTTTACGATCTTAATGTATTATTTTCATTTCTGATAACATATAAATAGTTCATTCATACTTCTAAATCATGCTAAAATAATTCAGATGAATTTAATTAAATTGAGTTAACGATGCCCTGAATCTTTTCCTTAATTGGAAATCGAATCGAATCAAACTGAATCACGGTAAAATGCTAAATTTCATGATGAATTAAACTGTTTCCTAAAGTATCAAACTGAATGGGGGAATTTCAGATTCCACTACGCATTGAATAATTTCCTAAAGAATCAGAATTTAATTGAATTGTAGTGGAACTTGAGAAGTAATGATGCATCAAAAGGCTTCCTAAAGAGCTGCAATCGAAGCAAATCATGTTGACTTTTGAGACTTCATGACACATTGAATCATTTCCTAAAGAATCACTTTGATTTATGGTGAAATTTTATTGTGGTGAAATTTCTGATATCATAATGCTCAATTTTTCTAAAAATCAGAATTGAATCAAATGGTGATGAAATCTGAAATGTCATCTGAGATAACACAGCAAATCACTTCATAAAAATTGCTGGCATTGAATAATTTTCTAAGGAAACAAATCGATTCATGGTGAAATTTGAGATTTCATGTTGCTTTGAATCATTTTCTAAGGAATCAGAATTGAATTGAATTGAATTGTGAAATTTGAGATGTCATGATACATCCAAACGCTTCCTAAACTCATAGCAAAACGGTTCTACAGCATAGTACCGAAAAAGGGTTTTTTGACTCCTAACAATAGTGGAACCCTTTTTGTTCCTATATATAACCATTTTAAATGGTTCTTTAAAGAACCATATAAAAGTGGTATTACATAATAAAGAAGAACCATTTGACCATACAAAGAACCATTTATGCATTCAAATGGTTCTTTGAGTGTTCATGGTTCTATGAAGGACCATTGCCAGGTTTTTTAAGAAACTTTGTGATGTATTGACTAGTTTCCTAAAGAACTTCACCTGAAATGAATGCACACACATGCACAAATACATACTCATCCAGCATTGACACTAATGGTGAGGTGTTCTAGAGAAGGATGGAAAGAAGAAGGGTGGGAAGGGGGGATGATGGCATATGGTGGGTGAACGGAAGTGCCCCGAGCGAGAGAGGGCTTCCTCTCGCTCCCTCTTTTTCTCTCTCCCTCTTCCATCCATCTCCTGTCAGTGTGCGGAGCAGAGAGGAGGATGAGAAGCAGCTGGCCTGCGGCAAAACCCATCTCCTCCTGCCACTGACTGAGAGACAGCATGGTGGCTTCTCTCCATTTCTGCCAGCTGTGCCTGCACAGAGACTTCAGCGCTGTACAGCAGCTTCCCACCCATTATTTCACATAGAAAATACCAGCGTCAAATGGGGGCTGAATTAGGGCTGTTTGTCAGCAATAAAGCTGAGGCAGAAATAGACTGAGAAGGTTACGATCATTAGATTTATTATTGCCTACATTCCATTCATTAACGTTAAGAACTACACACATACTGTGCTTATGTAAGAATAGATAGAACATAAAGATACTCTTCCCTTCTCTCTCTCACTCTCTCTCTTTCTTCCTGCTCTACTTTCCTCAATTTTATCTGTTTATCTCTTTCCTTCTCCTTTCTCTTTCTCTTTGTCTATAATTTTTTGCTTGTCTCTTCTATTCTTCTCTCTCTGTTTCTCTTTTTCTCTCTCTCTTTATCTGTCTCTTGTGCTTTCTATTGTGCTCTTTTGCTATTTTCTCTTGTCCCTTTTTGCCCTCTTCTTTCTTTCTTTCTTTCTCTTTCTTTCTTTCTTTCTTTCTGTTTGTACTCTATTTTTGTCCCTCATTCTAATTCTCTAATTGGAGTCATTTGGGGATGAGAGAGAGCAGTAGGATGTGGCTGTATAGGGTGACCTCAAGCTTCTTCTGTCTAGTTCTCCTGAGGTTGGTTCCCAGGGTGATGGAGGTCAGGGTCAGGCCAAGCCAGGTGCATTGTGGGATCGGAGGAGGTCCTTGGCCTAGCACACCCCCTGTTAATGATCCGATTACTCTGCTCTGAATACAGCACCTGCATACTCATATTCACTGATGCTAAACGACCTAAACTAACAGTTTGTTCTAACCAGTGGTGTACAATCATATCGGAATGATATCAGTTTCTGCAGATACATGCTTTTTTTGGGGACAGATGTCTAGATTTGATGAATATTTCAAACCAGTGTTTGATGACATATTGAATGTACTCCAGAAGTTTAGGTGACTCTGGGTTACTGTGGTAAAATATTACTGCAATAATCAATACGGCTCTTATATACATAGATATTTAACGTACTTTATGGGAAAAAAACAAAAACAAGATCAATATATTGCACATAAGCTGCTTTATATACAGAAGGAGCTGATCTTACTATGCTGACAGGATGAAAACCTTCATCTTATCACATTACATTTTTGATCATACAGCTAGCAAATTTTTAGACAGTACTATGTGTTGCTTTAGAACCCGTTAGCATCTGGTCGGTTCATGTGACTAGTATCTGCAGGGCACCTGATAACATTTTAACCTCATGCACTTACTCTTAGCAGTCAGTCGGATTGCTATATAGTGAATAATATGCAAATCAGCTCGTATGCAACAACCAATTCCCTGCGTTGTTTCTTGTTTTTCTTGTTCTATTCTAAAGATGGTTGTTGAAAATCACAATTTTGCATGCACATTGTTAATTCTTTACAGCAGCACAAAAATGGCTATCTAGAGGAATTACCATCCTTAATTAGTTATCACTGTTTTGGGCAGCATGCATTAAAATGTAAAAAAACTGTAGCAAGATGGTGAATAGCAACAAGGTGAAGTAAAACTGGTGCTTTACTTATACTAACTAGCTTGATGTGCAGGACAGTGAAGAAGGCTGCTGAATCAAACTGAAATCGGTACAGTCGTGTGCAAAAGTTTGAAAGCCCCTGGCCAAATTACATGCTATGTTGATTTTTCTAAGTGAACACATCCACCAGCAAACAGACTTAAGTATGGCAGTTTTCTGCAAATTTGAGAATCAGAACCAGAATCAGAATCAAGCTTTATTGGCCAGGTGTGCTTACATCCCACAAACATTTTACAGTAGTAAATAAAATAATAATAAAAATAAATAAAAACATAAGAATAAAATAAAATAAAATGTGCATCCTACCACACACTCAGACCATCACACACAATCACACACACAGTCACACACACACACACACACACACACACACACACAGTCACACAGGGTCCACCGTTTTTAATTATTTACTGAGTTTAAAGGGGAATTCCACTGATTTTTCAAAATGTCTCCACAATTCAATCATTGAGATGTAAACAGTCATTCAGAGCAGTTTGATGTAAAATTGTTTACTGTAGAGAAACATACCAATGTCTACAACATAAATATAGCCATTTTATTTACTATCCAAAACCACCAGTGGACCTACACATGTTTTCAAAGTTTTTATTTGCAATGTTGATAATGGGGAATAATAGTGATAATCCTGAAAATATAAATTCTTTTGTGATTATTTTGCCCTGGATGTACTGCTCTACCATGAATTATTTTTTTTTAATAAATGGATTTAGTACATTTCAGGCAAAAACATTATCTTGAAACTATCTGAAAAACAATGTCTCAGACATCAGGCGTAGTATTCATAACCATATTGTGTAATAAAAGGCATTAAACTCTCTCAGACATCTGGTTCTTATCACCACCACTGTGAGCAGTTCTGACTCAGTAAGTTTTTCACAAATGGAGCATTTCACACCAAACCACTATGAATGATTTAGTTTACATATTTACCATTTAATTATGTAGACACTTTGAAAAATCAGTAAAATTCCCTTTTAACATTAAAAAATAAAGTACAAAATGTGCCATAACACATAGCATTGTATGCCTTTTTTAACAATATCTTATATTCAGCAAATAAACAGTAAATGTTCTTTAAAATGTGCAGAAGTGTGTTCTCTATAGAGGATGTTAATAAGTATTAACTTATTTTCACTTAGAAAATCAGCAAAATGTGTTATCTGACCAGGGGAGCCCAAACTTTTACATATGACTATGTATATCTGAACAAGCAAGTATCTGAATATATACCTGAAGTAGCAGTGATGCCTTTAGTGGGGCAGTCTGAGGGCTGTTCCATCCCCATATGCAGAATAGCAGGGGGAAGCACTATCACAGTACTAGGGGAGTTTGTTTGTTGAATGTGATTTAAAGAGACATGGAGGCATCCACACTTACATCTGGCTAAAATGCGCCTCCTGAAGAAGTTTGAGCAGTCAGATTTCTGAAGTCTATCGGAAGTCCGTTTTAAATGCGTCTCGGGTGCACCTGCATTTTTATGTGGGTAATCTCTTTTTCTGGATATAATCCTGAATCTCAAAATGCATGAAACAACCAGGCATAAACGGGGCTCTGGTGTTTTGATCTCTTCACCACAAACAGCACTTCAGTTCTTGAGCCGTTAACGTCATGCATTGCTCTCATGTCTGTCTCTCAGTGGACACACAGGCCAGGCCCTGACTTACTGGACCATTAATGATTCCATTCGCAACTTCATCTGGGTCTTGCCCTTGGCCGCAACCACTATTGCCCTTGACTTTCCTTTAAAGTGCAGAGTGCTGGGTTTAAAAGCTGGTAATGCGCTGGATGCAGCAGTTTGTGTTCTAGCCATGTTTGCATGTGTTTCTGGATTAGGGAGCATCATATAACATTGTGAAGTATGAAAGGATCCAGTGTGACGCTGTGTAATTTCCATTATATGATCATTAATCTCACAATCTAGCAGGGTTATTATCTGCCATTCAGTTTAATCCTCATTATATTCCATCTACCCGTTTCTGCAGAGGCACGTTCACCTCCACAGTGTTAATCATATTAGTAATCTTCCACACACACAAACAAACAGCACATCAGCAGACAGCAGCTAGTGTTTTATTGTGGAACCAGAACAAACTAAGGAGAGAGAGAAAGTGAGCAAGGAAAGAGGATGCCTCTCACACTGTCTTTCATTTTTTTTCCTCCTTTTTTCTTCCTTCCTTTCTTTCTCTTCCTCCATTTCTCTCTCTCTCTTGCTCACCCTCTCACTCTCTCACGTTTATGATTATCACTTTTCTCTATCCATCCTTTTTCACGCCCTTCACTCATCCGTTCCCTTGCACCTTTTTATCACCACCTCTGCTCTCACACCACTTCATCTTCTCTTTATCTTTCTCTCTTCCTCTCTCCCTCTCCCTCTCCCTCTCCCCTTCTACCTACCCCTCTCACGTCTGCCTCTCTCTCCCCTACACTCTCTCTCTCTCTCTCTTTCTCTCTCCCATCTCATCTCTTCTTTCTCTTTCTGTCCCCTCACTCTCTCCTCTCTTCACTTTTTCTCTGCTCTCCCCTCCACTCTCTCTCTCTCTCTCTCTGTACTTTTTTCTACCTCTCTCTCCTCTCTGTCTGCCCTCTCTCTCCTCTACTCTCTCTCCATCTCCCTATATCTCTCCTCCCTGCACTTTCTCTCTTTGTCTCCATCTCTCTATATCTGCCTCCCTGTACTTTCTCTCTTTTCTCCACTCCCCTCTGCTCTCTTTCTTTCTCTAATCTCTGTTGTTTTCTCTCTTCCTTCACCCTTCCTCTCTCTCTCCCCCTCGCTCTCTCGCCCTCCTCTCCCTGATCTGTCTGTCCTCTCTCTCTCTCCCCCTCCTCCGCTCCCTCCCTCTCTCTCTCCTCTCCCCTCTACACTATCTCTCTCTTTTCCTCTCTGTTTTTCTCTCTTCATCTCTCTATATCTCTCTTCCCTGTCTTTTCTCTTTCTCTCCATCTCTCTATATCTCTCCTCCCTGCACTTTCTCTTTCTCTCCACTCCACTCCCCTCTGCTCTCTTTCTTTCTCTCTTCTCTCTCTCTCCATTTTATCTCTCTTATCTTTCCACTCTCTCTCTCTCTCTCTCTCTCTCTCTCTCTCTCTTTCTCTGTCCTCTCCCCTCCGCTCCCTCTCTCTCCCTCTCTTGGGTAGAAGCGGGACATTGAGGTGGATGATGATGGAGTGATGATGGACGTAAGCGTGTGTAAGCGTGTTGGCGGAGGCGGTCGCTCACTCGGCTCGCTGGAGCCCGTGTTGGGCCGGCGGGAGCGGGAGGTCCTGCCGAGCGCCCGCTGCTGCCCCCTCGACCCCTGGGAGCTGCCTGTCGACTACACCAAGATCAAACGCCTGGAGCACGACAGAGAGGTGCCCACGCGCACCCAGACACACACACCACACACACTTGTGGAGTCGGGGTGAGGGTGGGGGGGTCATACTGGGCTCAGTATAAAACAAACATTAATTAGGACTGCAGACCTGGGGGAGTTTCACAAAGCAGGATTTTAGAGCCAGATTATTTAAGACAGAAGTCAAACCAGTCCAGCAGGGAGAGAAGGATACTGCTATTCATCAGTCTTTGCCTTTAAGTTATCTACTTCAAAATTTCATAACTACTTTTTCAATATGAGGCATTATGTTCCAATTCTCAGGTCTCTCACTTATTATAGAATCATCTATAGTTTGTTAATTATTCTAGACACATCTAAAACATTGTATAGGTTATTTAAATCATATGACGTTGTCAAGTTCTATACCATTAGAATCATTTTATACATGTAGCAGCATCAGAATTGGTTTTATATTATTGAAACATTAATTCTATACTTGGAGTGGTCCTTTGTAGATGATTAATAAACTCTTAACAGATTATCAGTAACACATCAACAACATATCAGTGAAGTAGCAGTAGTGAAGCATTTGAATACACTGAATTAAATATCTTGTAGATGTTCTGTTGATACGTTACTTACATTAAGTAGATGTTTCGTTAATATGTTACTACCAGTGTTACCCAAAACCTAACCCTCACCCTGGCCGTAGCCCTAACCCTAACCTTAACCTCAACCCAAAACCTAATCCTAACCCTCTGAGAGTGTTACTGAGAGTCTGTTGAGTGTTTGTTTCATCTAAAAGGACCACTCAAAATAAAGTCTCACCAAATAAACATTACTTAGGGCTGCAGACCTGGTCATGTAGCAATACTAATAAATAGTCAGTTAATTATGAAAAAATATAATTAATGCAACTCTGCATCACAGTGATGCATTTCTATAAAACAGCAATAATCTTCAAATAAATGTGCTAAGTACGTTCCCAAGTACGTTGGCTGTGCTGTGAAATGAATGTTCTGGCAAATTACAGTTCTTCACACAGCCTGACAAATCAAAGGTGCTCCACAGAGCGCAGACATTTACTGAGCCCTCTTCATCACCATTAGTCACAATGAATCACAATTAATAACTAATGACACGATATCACTCATAATCAGTTTTCATTCACAGCTGTCTTCTTGCAACTCAAACCCTGTAAAACCTAACACACAAAACAGTAATGCAAAAAAAAGTACTTTTAAATGTATATTATCTAGTGGCACTTTAAAAAACATGATTATTATTATTATTATTATTATTATTATTAGTGTTATTATTATTAGATGTATAATATATGTTTTGAATGTATTATATATGATACAGTAGGCTTTTATCTTTATATAATAATTCCAATGACAGAAAAATATTTTTAGTTCAGTCTATCAATTAAAATTGAACTCTTTTTAATCAATTTTTTTTTTATTATTTTTACTAAATGATAAATTATATAAAAAATAAAAAAAAGCTTCTGCCCTACAAATGTAGTAGGGTATATAAAACAGAATTTTGAAATGCCCCACATCAAACCTGTAAAGGCCTTCAGTCAGCTATTTGAGTTGTACTTGTATACTTGAATTGTACTTGTTCTAATAATCATTGAGTGTTTTTTGTTCAAACATTTTTTTTTACCAACACAAACATTTTACATTTCTGATTTGTTTTGTTACCCCAATATATGAGAGGTTTGTAGCCAAGTCCTCGGGGACCCCCAGTCAGTGCATGTCTCAGTTCCATTCCAGTCTCCAATACACAGCAAGAGCAGTAGATTACCTGGCTCAAGTGTGTTGGAAGCTGAAACAGGACAAAAATGTGGACTGGACTGGGAACCTCTGCCATGGATTACAGTACATGGTGGTTTATGCTTTCAGTTTTTGCTATTCTGATTTTTTTTTCCACATCCTCAAACAAAAAGCTCTTCTTCATTTTTTTTTTTCTGTAGGACTACATTTCTTTTACCAGTGGTCCCCAGACCACATTCCTAGAGATCACCTGTGCTGCAGAGTTTAGCTCTAACTCTAATCCTCCACAGCTTGCCTATAAAATCTTCAGAGGTCTTTGATAAGATGGATCAGGTGTGTGTCAATTTTGGGTTGAAGGTGAAACCTGCAGAAGGCAGATCTCCAGGAGGATGATTGTTTACCACTGTCTAAGACATATATCTAAAACCAATAAATAAAATAAAAGAGAAATGTAGAATATGGCCTTTTTTCAAGGGTCCTTAGATACCCTAAAGTTCTTTTTTCTGCTTTTCTTCTTTTTCTGCTAGAGCACTTTCTCTAAATGCACATTCTGAAACATGTCATGCACATGTCAGTCCATACGCTGCAAAGACTTAATGGCTCCTGGCAAGACGCAGACATGCTGAAACAAAAACACGCCCCTATTCTCTCACTTGCATACCTGTGCATGTATAGTCAGGCTTGTGATGGTTGCCTCCATACACCTAGACACATTATATACAGGCCCACATTATGGACACACACGCTCTTGCCTGCCTGTCACTGACATATCTGTCACCTTAAAGCCCCTCAAGCAAACACAATAAATTTCTTTCTATTTTTTATCCTTTCTGGTTAACTTTAATGTGCTCTTATGCAGTGTAATAGTTGTAATATAGTTAATTAGACATTACAGTAGGGATGCACTGATCGTGAATTTGGCACATGGCTGATTTATATTAGTCTGATATTTTATTAGGCCGGTATTTCTCAGCCTGAAGCTCACACTGTATGAGCCAAATGAACACATGAAAGCTAGCAGATTTCCAGTACTTTCGATTCGGCAAAGTTGCAATATAAATAACCTCATGTGCTCTTCAATGGGCCAAACTGGCATTTTACATTTCTGGATGAAAATAGTTTCCTACTTAAATAACATGGATGGTTGAAAGAAAGTGAGCACACTGAGTTATGCAGTGGCCGATTGCTGATTGCCTGTTTGAAGCATAAATCTGCTTCTGTTCTTGGCAAATTCTGAATGATTACCTCTACATTACAGATACAGACCAGAAGATAAAAAGAAACAGTGCTGATTTCTTTAGCTGTGCTATTTCTTTAACATTAAGATATCGCTACACTACAAATTTGCAAACATTCTTATGTTCTTAGACTTGTAAACTCTAGTGTGTAATATATGTTAAAATGTTGCCATTATTCTTATATTTGATTTTTCTCATCACTATATGGCTGATAATGATAGAAATACAGAGCACAGCTGCAGAAGACATACACATTTGCCACACACACACACACACACACACACACACAGACACACACACACGCACACACTCATGTTCTGATTTCACCATACTGCCATCAAGTGTATATGTGTGGTACAACAGCTTTAGCTGCTGAAATTCTGATCTAAAAACACAGAAAACGAACATCCAAATAATCTGGCAGTAACTTCACACATTAGCCCTTTTTTGTTGTAGCAGTCTGTCCTTAAAGAAGAAACCCTGTTTCACAAGTTCTGCATTCTCTAAACCTCCCTTTTGCATAAACCCTCTGCAGAGACCTCCACTGCACGTGTATTCGGTGCGCCACTGCCCAGATCCACATGTCTCCCAGACAAAGCCCAATCGACAGATTAATTTTCACTTCCTCTCCGTCACGTTTCCCACGGATGCATTGATTGACTGGCGCAGTTCAACAGCCAATTGAGGTTTCATTATTTGCATACAAATTGCCTGTGTGGAACGGCGCTGTGCTTTCTATGTGAGAGACTGTTGATTTTGTGCGTGTGGGGGAGTGGTGGGGGGGGTGAAGACACCTGTGAGTGTGTGTGTACGTGTTTGTTGGCTCTCTTTGAAGAGCAGTGGGAACATTTGATTGTTACGAACCACGATGGCTGCTGATGGTTGTGATGGCTTGTGCTGTTAAATGCAGGGTGTAAAAGATGCTCTATGTTTGTGTGTGTGTGTGTGTGTGTGTGTGTGTGTGTGTGTGTGTGTGTGTGTGTGTGTTCAAATGAGATTTGACAAGTTTCTTTGTCATGTCTAAAGACACTTGGCAGATGGGGCCCAAGTCACAATCTCTCTGTGAGAGTTTTTGAAAAGACCAATGGGAAAACCAGATTGCCATTGCTTCTTACAAATAATAATAATAATAATAATAATAATAATAACAATAATAATAATGTGCAATGTAAACATTGATAAAGTTTCAAAAAGTACCCTTCACTACCATAATCTGTACATGGACAATTATCTGCACAAAAATGAACATATTTACATAACACCACCCATTAAGCCTACAGTGGTTTAGCTAAGCATTTATGTTGAAGTGGTAAGCAGTGTTGTTACTGCACAGAGTCTGTAGCAGAGTTTTCAGGGTGGAAGAGCAGCCATTCAAAATACTCCCACATCCAAAAGGAATGGCTGAAATCTAATTCTGAGGTCTATTTCTGGCATCTCTTAACCGTCTGCTCTGCACATTTCAGTCCAGACTGCTGTTTAACTCAATCAGACTGACCATCTCGCCAGCAATCCATTCCAAGAATTTAGCAATGGCCCCTTAAACACGTTTACAAATGCTGCCAGAGGAGTTACAGCATGTGCAAGTCCATGTTGGCCACACTGAAACAAATAAGCATGTAGAATTGGTTTTTGTTAGCTTTTTGTTTGTTACTGCATTTTCTATCACTATATCAAAGATGCCTAAACTGCCTTTAATTATTTAATGCACTGTAATCTTTTCAAGGCTAGCACACTTAACAATAGAACGTGACGGTTGTGTGTCTTATATCTTCCTATTCATGTGTTATCTCATTCAAAAAGGTAGTTTGTGAGAGAAAGTAAATAAAAATCTAAAATATTCGTTTCTACTTTGTTAATTTATTTTGATGTTTTTATTAGAGAAGAGTGGATTAAACTGCAGAAATATACATGCTTTGTTGTTAACCTCATAGGGTTGAATGAGGCATGATTAGATTGGTGGGAACATAGTGTTAAAAGCCCACCAAATGCTTCCCTGCAAAGCTGAGCTTGAACCCTGCTCTCATACATGGAGGGCAAGTAACTGGCTAAACAGCCAGTTACAAGACATATACATACTTGAGATTCTCACTCCAAAGTTGCATAGACATATATGAAGCATTAATAGCTATCGTCACAACAAACCTGTATCATCATAAGAAGCTTTTCAAGGATATTCATTGGTATTTGTAGCCTGACTGCAAACACAAACAGAAAATGCTGTTCAGAGAATCCTGTTTTAGACCAAAGCACCTCATGGAACTCACAAATTCATTAGTAGTCAAAGCTTTTGGTGCTTTATAAGAGCAGCGCTTCTGCGCTGAAATAATGTCGCTGTCCAAAAAATAAAAAAGTATCCTCATTTTTTCAGATTTTTTTTTTCTACACCGTTTGAGCACAGCAGCTGTGTGTTCACGTTGTTTAAAAATTCATGAAGAATGGACCAATACAAATGCTCCAAAATTACTTGAAATAAAATATTTCTACAATAACTGGAATCAAGTTTAGACTATTTTTCCTTTTTGCTTTTTTGGACAGCGACAATGTGCTTACAGTGAAGTGAATAGCTACTGGTATTTCATTATTTTGATTTTGCATAATAGTCAATGGTGCTTTTGTAATTTTGTATTTTTGGCCATTTTCTTGTAGAAGAAGAAAAAAACTTGCAGCACATTGAGGCACACCATTTTAATAATAATAATAATAATAATAATAAACAACTTCAAACATTGCTTTTTAGGTTCATATTATTCAGCCCAAGTTATTATTATTATTATTAGTAGTAGTAGTAGCAATAGTAGCAGTAGTAGTAGTGGTAGTTGTAGTAGAAGTAGTAGCATGAGTAGTAGTAATAGTAGTTGTAGTAGCAGTAGTAGCAGTGGTATTTATTGGATTAGTAGTAGTTGTTAAGTAGTAAAAGTAGCAATAGTAGTAGTTGTAGTAGTTGTTCTAGTATCAGTAGGATTAGTAGCAGCAGTAGTAGTAGTAGCAGTAATAGTGGCAAAGGAAATAGTAGCAGCAGTGATAGTAGCAGTAGTAGTAGCAGTAGTAGTAGTAGTAGTAACAGTAGTAGTAAGTTAATAGCAGTATAATAGCAGTAGTAGCAATGTGCTGCACCACTTTTCACTTGGCCTCTGTGTCAGTGTAAATGAGCAGTCACTAATGTGGATCTGGCTGCTGTAGAGCTGAGAGTGTGAACATGGTGGCAGCAGCTCAACTCACCAGTGTGTCTCTGCTCCATCACTGCTCCTCCACTGCGGAGGGACAAAGGCCAACTGGAAGGCCTCCCGAACCGAGGTGCCACAGCAGCAGCTAGTGCCACACCTCACATACACAGCCTGCAGGGAGTGAGACAAGATTTACCCAGACACCCCCCTGCACACATCCCCACATATCTCTCTCTCTCTCTCTTTTTTCCATCCCCATTTTAAAATCTGTTCAGATATTTCCTCATTTCAAGATATTACACTGCCATATATGCTGACAAAGTGAAATCTCAGACTTGTTAAAGCAATGTAAGAACAGTTCGATAATCTCTCTTTCTCTCTCTCTCTGTCCGTTCCTACAGTCAGATGATCTGGACCCCTTCCAGGACATTTTAGAGGACAGTGCGTACGCCACTGATGTCACCATCCCGAGTCCCAAGCCAAAATTCGCCCCTTGCAAAGAAAGTAAAAAGGACCTGATAACGTAAGCCTGAAGGGGAGGTGATGTCACTGCCCACCCCCACGTCCACCCTCCTCTCCACCTACTTTCTGTCTCTGCTTTTCTTTTTCTCGTGTTGCTCCGCTTAGAGCGATCAATTCTTAGCCGCATGCTACATAACGCGTCAGCCTCCTGGCAGACTCTTTTCATTTCCAGCTGAAGTCCTCGAGGCTAGTGTTCCTCTGGCTTTCCTCTGCTTTCTCTCCTGATGCTTTATTGTAATAAAACATCATTCTCATTCTACCAGTTCATGTTGCAGCTACTCCCTAGGATGTTCTGAGGTTTAGCACGCTCACACCCAAGCAGACAGTGAAGCTAAACTGGAAACAATGAACTCTAATCTAATGGCAAAATTAAAGCAACACTTCATTTTAACCCCATCTCTATGTGGCACTCTCATAAGCCTTACAGACATTATTCAGCAATGATGTCAATGCAGTGCCTGGACATCACTGTAAATTCTCGAACCTATAAAATACTTCAGTCTCTTCTCAGTAGATCCAAATGTGATGCTTATGAAAGTGTTATGTGGGTTCCTTTGCCAAAAAAATGAAGTGTTACCATTTTTCCCAGTCTTATGGCTGCACACGAAATTATGTTTCCTTTTTTTGTTGTTCTGGACTTTGGCGTTTGATTCTATCTACTTTTTTCTGGAGACAGATGCCCAACACCAGGGTGTGATGGAAGTGGTCACGTAACCGGTAATTACGCCTCGCATAGAAGGTGTGACTTCATTTTCTCATGGTGGATTCAGTCCTATCAATTTATTGTTTTCAGCTTACCTCGACTATACTGTCAAACAGTAGCCAGGACAGTACCTATCCATGTTAACCCTTTGAGTACAGTATCACCTCAGTATTTGAGACTAGAACACCAGAAAAAAGAAAGAGAAGAACAGAATTGGTATATTAGTGATCAAACAGTATGCTATTCAGAGGGTTAACAGAGATTAGACCTGATATCCCCTGCACTTGCACCATGGCTTTTCTGCATTTACAGTTTTTGCGAGTTGATTTTGTTTTGAATGCATTTTTTTCTGTTTTTTTATTCTGTTTCAATGTTTTTCCCCTTATTTTTACACTAATGTCCACTTTTATGATCTTCCAGTCTTTCAGGTTGTCCTTTAGCAGATAAAAGCATTCGAAGTATGATGGCTACCAATTCTCAAGAACTCAAGTAAGGCTTGAAACCACAAAAAAGTATTCAAGTAATATTTTGCTTGACAAAATCATTAAAGCTGTGAATTTTATGATAAATAAAGAGATCAAATAAAATTTATTGTGAGGTTCTGGTTAAATTACAAGTGGTATATGAAGTTAACTAAAAGTTTTATCCAGCATAAACCTCCATTCAACAGTTTGCAATCACTATTCATATCAATAATTGTTGCTGTTTTATTTAAAACAACATAATTTACAATGCATATCTGAATACTCTATACTAGACAACAAAATGTACATTCTGTACTGTTTTCTATATTTTGGCAACAAGAAGTTATTAAAATATAAATAATATACTGTAGTATTGTATTTACAGGATTTGCTTTTGAAATATAAGGCATTAGGGATATTCATTTTATCATAAATTAAAGCAGTCATTTAAGAATGATTATTAGTTATGTTCTTCATTTTGAACTAATTGTCAATGTTTTTAACAACTTCCTACAAATTATTTGTCATTAAATCTGCACAAAACTTACCAAACTGGTTTTATATTCTTGTAAAACATTGATTCTAATCTTTAGAACGGTCATCCCAAACTTTTGAACTGTAGTGTAACTTTTACTCAAGTTTTATTAGCTAATGTTTTGTGTTGAGATGTGTGGAAAGTCAGGGTTCAGTAACTGAAACAGACAATTTCTGTCAGTCACCACAGTGAAATGAGCTTTCAGCAAGAATGTATTGATTAGGGCAAGCTCAATGTCTGGGCTCATGTCTAGTGTTGTGAATAAGGTTATTGGACCATGCTAAGTGTTTTGTTCAGTGCAGGATTTACAAAATGCTTCTGCACATGCTTGAATAAGCAATGCTTGTCATGTCAGACTTATTGAAAATTAAACTTCCAGAAAGCAACAATAAAATAGTTAAGATACACTAACTCAGTTTTATATATCAGTAGCTTTGCTGAAAATCAGTTCTGCTCTGATCATTAACCCAAAAAGATGAAGATCACCTATTTGCCATGAAAGGATAGTGTTATCATATCATTGTATGTGTTGCAATTGAAAATGCACTGAATGCCTGTCTTCTTCTATGCTGGACAGTAACAGGGTGTATTTCTGTCCCAGGTGCCCGACTCCGGGCTGCGACGGCTCGGGACATATCACTGGCAACTACGCCTCACACAGAAGGTAAAGCAGAACATGGCATACGTCTCTACATCTGTACAACTATTTCAACACATTAACCCTTAGAAGTCACAGTTTTTACAGATGTTAACAAAATCATCATGTAATTTGACATTCATTATTTTATATTTTGATATTCAATTATTCATGTGGAATAATAAATGAATAATCCATTAATTGGCTTAAAAGGTGGCCTGTAAACATCAAGCGCTATAACAGTAAAATGTTTGCCAATGTTCTGACTGTTCACAAAGAGCTAAATCACCATCATAGCAAAAACATTTGGTGCCTTGTTTAAGTCAGCATATCATTTTGAGCTACAATGAGTAATAAGCAACAGCTAAAAATAAGTGACATAATAATAAATATGTAGATGTTATAGCTCTTTAGGCTGCGGCATCATTTAACTGGTTTAACATTTTAACCAAACTTTAGTGATGCTAAGTAACATTAGCTAATTCTGACAAATCATTTACAGTCCAAACAGCACATCCTCAGGGAGTAGTTGTAGTTTGGTTTGTCAGAACACTAGCGTGGAGGGAAAGCTCCTGTTTAATGGCTGTTCTGCTGCTTCAAAATCAACACCAGCAGGGTGTCTTTTGCAGTGGTTGAAAGTAACATTGTGCTTCCATGGCAAGTTAAGTTAGATATAATAATATGCTGTATTTATCCTTCATTTATCCTCTAAAAAAACTCATATTTTCTTTCTTTTTAACATACAGCCAATCCATTTTATTCAGTATCTGCTCACATTGGTACAACACTATAAGTGAATTATGGCCCTCTTTGGGTTAAGTTGTTGCTCACTGTTGGTTGCACATCACCTTGAAAATGCAAACCAAAGATCAGGGAGGAGATGGGGTGGTGGTGGGGATTGGGAACACTTCATCAGGAACGGAAGGTGAGGATGTGAATTTATAGGGCGTTGGATTGGAAGAAGGAGGGGTTTCAGGCATGTTCTCTCCCCAAACTTCGGTTATAACATAATTACATTATTTGTTGATTACTTGTCGCATGTCTTTGCATTACATGGAAAAATTTGGTCAAAGTGGTGTTGGTGTTGATTCTAAATTTTCTATCCATACCATATTTCTTTTTGTAAGTAGAAGAGAACAACAAAACAATGGAAAGGAGTCAGACGTGCAGACTCGAACCTGCTGATACAGAATGTAAACTGAATCTGAATGGAATTCATTGTGTAATTCACTATATATTTGAATAGTATAGCAAAACAAACAAAAAAGTAATAACTCTTGACTTCTAAGGGTTAATGATCAGTCAGTATACACTATCATGAACATCATACTAGAAATGCCAAATCGATTTTCCAACTTCGCTTGTAAGCAGTCTTTCCAAATCCGGCATGTTTCTTCAGTTTGTCAGGATGCCCTCGGGCTCGCAAGAGTGGCATAAAGATTACTCACAGCAAAGAGGACAAGGAAGACCAGGAGCCAATCAGGTAACAGACTTCAAACTACTTAAAGCCTGCTACTCACACAGTAACCACTATTGCCCTTGTCACAAGCACCAGTCTAATTCAAACAGTGTACATGAGAGGGATTGTAGACAACAAACTCATCAAACAGCCTTTCAGTTACTGCCAGCTGCAACTCTCGGTGTCCCCTCGATCCAAAGTAAAAGGACGAATCAGGAAGCCAAAAACATGAATGTGAAGGTCAGCCATTGCTGTTCAGGGTGTAATATTTTGCCAAGAGCTTGCACTCCAGGCAAAGCATTCTTTCCAAAGCTTGTGGTTCAAAGCCATATTTGGAGGTAATTGTAGTTAGAGAGAGGCACAGCTTGAAAAGCTCAGGAGTGCCGAGGCTCCTTGAGGACTGTGCTGAGGGTTGCAGTGGGGACTGGGGCATCTGTGCAGAAATTTGTGAATGTGCAAGGAGAAATTTAAAAGTTCCTTTTGAGAGATGTGAGTCAGATGGTTTGGCCTAATGGCCTCCCATACGTCTGTCTAATGAACAGACAGCTAATTATGTGTCTACCAACAAAATCAAAGTAGAGAAAGTAGAGTAAGAAGTGCTGATTTGTTAGTGAGATCATAAAGACATGTATGATGCATCACATACGCAAACCATCCACTTCATTAGAAATACCTACCTTACAATTTTTGGCCACCTTGTACCTCTACCTACATTATAGGTCCACTGTATATGTGCACAATTGTATCTGTAGCCCTGCACAAGGCCCTTTTATGCACAATTTTGTCAGGCCTCCCTCTACCCACTTCATCAGTGGCAAGATATTTTTGGGTGGTTGACCATAAGCACAGCAGAGTGCCTTTGTGGTCCAAAATGGACCATTGATGAAGGGCTAGAGAATGGCTAACACAAACTGTGCATCAACAGCAAGTGGAGTACTACCTTTACAAAAAGTTACATTTTGTAAAGGCAGTATTTAGAATACAGTTACTTTTTACTTTTTACTTTAAGAATACTTACTAAGTAATGCATATTTATGAACCAATTTAAAATTGGTGCATGGCATGTAGCAAACCTGCTTGTTAGAACTCAACAAATTACTTTATCCCTGCTAAAGCCTGAGTGGACTGATAATTCAGTGTGATGATCAGTTAGTAATCTCAGTGTTACTGAGCTCTTTTGACTGATGAAGAAACATGACATGATTGCAAACTAAGCATTGGTGTTGTACTGGACTCTTGTGATTTTTGAGCAGCAGTGGACTGATTCAGGCGATGAGAGAGAAAAAACTGTTGAGATTCTTCAGAACTTCATTTAAATGATAGGCAATTTTTTGCATTTAAATGATAAGCAAAACATTATCAGATGAACTGGATGAAGAAAACTGATATTAACAGAGAGGAACAGTGTGAATTAAGCAAAAATTATAACTTTTTTTTAATTTGCTTTATGCCAAATGTATCCTAAAAGTATATGTAATATAAGTAATATGTTTTTATGCATGGGAATACATTACTGGATACATTAAGAACACTGAGTTGAGTATTCTGCCATCACTACTTTTTCAAAATATTTTGCCCAACTCTGAATATAATGTAGGCCTGCACAGAATAAAATCTAACAAGATTAAACATTTTGATTGAAAATATGTCATTCATTACTTATTCAGCAGCCTGTTTGGTATTTTCTATTAGGTGTCCTGTACCTGGCTGTGATGGACAGGGTCATGTGACAGGGAAGTACGCATCTCACCGCAGCGCATCTGGCTGCCCTCTAGCGGCCAAACGGCAGAAGGACGGATATATGAACGGCACGCAGTTCACGTGGAAGGCTGGAAAGACAGAAGGCATGTCCTGCCCAACTCCAGGCTGTGATGGCTCAGGGCATGTCAGTGGCAGCTTCTTGACCCATCGAAGGTGGGCCTATCTTACTTTTACAGAAAAATATCACAACCAAGTTAGACTAGGACTAGTCAAGCAATTACTAGTTTAGAAGTCCATAAAATGATGAACTAAGATGTTGTAGCATGTATGCACTGTTCAGCAGCCCTGCTCCCATGTGAACTTCCTTCTTTCATTCAGTCTGTCAGGTTGCCCACGCGCCACATCGGCTATGAAGAAGGCCAGACTGTCAGGAGTGGAGATGCTTACAATAAAACAGCGGCCAAGCAATGGTAAAATCTGTTACTCCACACTACAAATGGGCAGTAGTCATACTTGAGTGTGCATGTACTGTATATCCAAGAATTCCTGAGCTTCACAGTGCATGTAAGGATGACATTCAAACAATACACAAAAGAGTTTAGTGCATTTATGCACAAGACTGGATGTAATCATGAGTAGATGTGATCATAGAAGCCATGAACTGTATACAAATAAAAAATGAAGGTGTTGGCCTTATTGTTGGGAAATCATGAGTTTGATCCCTGGTTCCCTGGTAATGCCACAGCCATCCATTGCCAAGGAGTCTAAGACAGAATAATTGGCCTCAATCTCTCTGGGTGGGTAGGATAGCCCTTCCTCTCCCCCCATTGCTTAGCACAGTGCTGGCCAATGCAGGCATATGTTAGCTAATTTAACAGAATTGGCAGTTAGTGTTCTCCTCCAAGCGTATTGAGCTGTCCAATAATTTTAAATCACCGGCTGTTCGAAAAAAAGTGGTGGCAATTCACATATCTTGGGGAAGTACATGCTAGTAGCACTGTGTGATGTGTAGAGTTAGTCTCAGACTCATATGCTCTGCTCACATGCAGATGTCTGGTGTCTTTTGGTGACAAAGCTGGCCGCAACTTTTTTTTCGATATTGTCAGTTGGATTCTGGATTCTGGCTGTTCGTGCATCCATGTATATGCACTTCTGCATGTACTTTTTATCATTTGGATGGGAAACAAAGTTTAGTTTTTCCAGCTAAATTTTGGTCAGCAGTAGTAGAACTGCATACTGTACTGTCATGACATTGTAATAAGAAATTACCCTTTTAGAGCAAGATATATCCAATGACTGTATATATAAATTGTTTACAATGGGGACCAGCTGAGGTCAATGATCTCACTTCCTGATAGACTTCTTGTGCAGTGGACAGCAGGAACTCGTGAGACTGCACTGTGCCTTAATGACGCAAATCTCCAAATCTTCAAATGACTGCACTGTGTGTGTGGAGAGAACATAAATCATCACAAGCATGCAACTTGTACAAATTTTAGTCACTACTTCCTAATGATAAAATAAATGAAATAAATGATTAAATAATAATAATTACAATAATAATAATAAAAGATCTCAAATTATTGTTGTTATTATTATTATTATTATTATTATTATTATTATTATTATTATTATTATTATCATTATTGTTGTTGTTATTATTTAATAATTTACTTAAACAATGTAAATAGGTGTTATTATTATTGTTTTTTATTATTATACATTATACAATTATTATTATACAATGTCATTTTACATGTCAGTTCAAAAGCCTCTTTCTGAAAAGGTAGGCATTTCTTGTCCATGCTTTGCAGTGAAAATCACCAGACTCACCGCTGATCTGTCTGTGAGATTAGAGGAGACCTAACTAGCAGGTGAAATTGGCATTGACTAAACTGGAGAGAATAATTGAGTAAAAATTTACTCCAAAAAGAAGTGAAATGAGGTCACATGTTCACTGTAATATCCTCTCCGATAACCATCTTCGAAGTTTTTGTTTTGCCAAGTTTCATTTCTATTCACAATAATATTTTGCCTTTTTTGTCTGATTTCTTGTAGGTTTAGATAATGATGAGGACATTAAGCAGCTGGATGAAGAAATCAAAGATTTAAATGAATCAAATTCACAGGTGGAGTCAGATATGATCAAACTTAGAACACAGGTAAAGAGACAAAACTTACAAAATATCACTTCTCTGAGTTACTGTACATTATATTTCTATGCTATGAGCTAAATGTACTTCCAATTATGTACGATTGCACAGTCGTGTATGTGTGTGTTTGTTAATAAGTCAAGAACAAGCCCCTGGCTGTGTTTGCTACAGCTTCTGCAGTTCATGACTGGAAGTTTAATGACATCTGCAGTATAATGAGAGTTTTGATTCGTTTGAGACGAGCACATTCCTTCGTTCCAGTCTGCAGCATTGTGTGAACTTGCAATTTCAAACTAAATAACGAGTTCCATCACACCAAAGAGATAATGATGGCTGTGGGTGTTTGCAGTGTGGTAAAGCTAATCTCTCTTCCCTATACATCCATAACTAACATGTACACTTGTTCTCTTTCCCAGATTACCACAATGGAGTCTAATCTGAAGTCAATAGAGGAAGAAAACAAGGTGATTGAACAGCAAAATGAATCTCTCCTGCATGAGCTGGCCAACCTCAGCCAGTCACTGATTAACAGTTTAGCTAATATCCAGCTCCCTCATATGGTAAGGGCCACCATTGAGAACAAATAGCGGGCAAGTTATGGAAAGAAAAGAGCATTGCGCTGCAGCTTGTTGATTTTCAAATCATAGCTCTCTGTGGCTTCAGGCAACAGTTTACTCTGCATGCTATATTCAGATGCAACTGCTTTAATTTACATTGCCAATGTGATGGTGCTGCGGAGATACTGAGTGAGTCAGCGATATGAGAAGGAGAGCAGTCAATCAGCATGATGATCAGCGTGATCTGATTTTCACAAACTAAGGCAAGGTCACTGGCAGAGATTACATAACATGGCCAAAGCTGGAAGGAAATTGTCATCTGGAAACAACCTGCATGTAGTCTAAGGGTGGGCAATATGAAAAGAATACACCATTACAATACTTGAAGGCATTTTCACCATTAGTGGTGGGTGGAGTAGCTTAAACTAACAGCTCAAGAAACAAGTAGTACATCCAGCATCTATCAGAAAATGGACTGAAGTTTGTGAGGCTCTGTTCTTTTATTTTTGCTGCTCTGTGGTACTAAAAAAACCAAAAAAAAACCCTAAAAACGCAGTGATATGGACCAATCACAAAAACAGTACAGATGCAATCATTAACCTAACATAATGAAATTAAATACAACAAGGACATTAGCAACTGAATGTGAATAAATATACACTATAAAAAGTGAAACAGGTGTTTGGAAGCTTGAATTGGTTTATTCAAATGTTGCTTTTGCTCATCTAAACTACAATTTTGCTTTGCTTGAATGGTTTGCATTCAAAGTATTTATCTGTGAGTTGAATAAAGCCAGGTAGATGGCTTGTTGCCACATAAAGTCACAAATTTTTTCCTTAAATTGGCAATTATACTTTATTTTACACCATACAAGAGTGGAAATAAAAGTATTATCATTTAAAAACTTTTGAAAAAAGTACAAATTCATCAAATCCATGAAGCTGAATAAATGTAACTAGTTACTACCCACCTCTGTTCATCAGAGATGAAAAGCAATAGTGCCACATTTTACTGAGATTATGAAAAACACAGCACAATAATTTTTGTATTCAACATTTCAACAAAACAAACTATTTAAGGAACAGAAGGAAAAATCAAAGAATTGTCAAAAATATATGATTAATATAAAGGCAAAATGGGCCAATCAGCCATTATGTCAGCTACTATGCAGTTAATACAGTTACTGTATGCTGGTTGTTAGTGTTTACAGCAGTGGTCACTAACCCTGGTGCTAGAGATCTACCTTCCTGTAGGGTCTAGTTTCAACTACACCTCCTCCAGCTAATTAACTCCTTCAGAAGGTCTTCATTAATTGGATTAAATACATTATATCATCATACTGCCCACCCCTAATGAATGCACATCTGTACACTGTAATACCACACCCATACACACTGACCAGGCACAGTGAATCAGCACAGATGTGATATTAAATCTTTTTTATTAAGTTTTTTTTATTATGTTTTATTAAGCCATCAATTGCATTCTGATTGGAAAACGCTGCCTATATCAGTCATAATCCTGTTTTCTCTAAGTGCCCCTCAAATAGCTCATGTATCAAGTGTCCACAGCCTGTCAGAACAGGCAGGAACCTTTGTCTTGCGGAATGATTTCTCTGTCAGTGACAAATGTCGGAACTCAGTATGTATGCGGTGCAAAAGAGATGCTAGATTAGTTATACTAGCTACTTCACGTATCACATGCAATGGTTAACTATTATTTGCAATGCAAATATGTCTATATTTGAGCTTAGCTATGTAGATGACATCACAAAAACAGCTTTCTTCCATAGCATTCATTTTGCTTTTGTTTCCTGACCTCCACAAGATGATACCAAATGGATTGACAGCAAATGACCACATTGAACTCCATTCCATGAAGAGATATCATGGCAGTACAATTAATATACAATAGAATATAAGAATTCCTTGTACAAAAACAGTTTTTAAGTTTTCTCAGTGTATGTATTTAGAAGTTTATACAAAAAATCACTTTTCTAAAACTTGATATTTGCCTATTAAGAACTTTAACAATTATGTGTTTATTGTTCACTTTTATAGCTGCTCATTTGAAAAACCCATAATTGGTCAGGTTTACATTTAAGGCCCTGTTATGTATAATATAGATTGCATCTGATAACACTTTGTTTGATTTTCATTTTTAAAGATTCATCCATTAATTAAATGAATTTATTATTTCAATTAATTATATTATTACTAATTTTTCTGTGGCCCTTGAACCTGATAACCTGATCAGTTTTACTGACTTACGGAGATCTGTGGGGACGGCTGGGTTTGTGAGATATTTTCCTGGATCAGCTATGAAATTCAGAAATGGTGAAAGTCCACTGAGGTGTAAGATGTTCCTGCTGGATTCAGCAGCCTAATAGATCTCTGCCTTCCTCTCTAGAAACCACCGCTACACAAAGAGCCTCCGATTAGAAATAACAGCTGTTTACAGTTGCATCAGCGAGTAAGGAACTCATTTTCACAGTCTACTCCTCTCCTGTCCTTTTGTTTTCTTAATCGTTTCCACTTCAATCTGTCCAAAACTGTCTGCATGGCTTTCTGAAGGAATATGTGATAGCCATTGGCTCATATGCATTAGTCATTGCTGTGTAATAGTACACATAACATGGCATTATTTGCTACAAAATAGAAATAAGATAGACGGTGATTGAGTGGATTTGTATTTGTGGTGTTTAATCACTGATAATGTCACTGAAATGATGCAAACGGCTGTAAATTATGTCAAATGCTTTGATGAATCTGGTCCAAAGTGAGAAAACATCAGTTAATAATGAGATGGATCTAGATAACAGATTATTTTGATAACATCGTTATATCTCTAATTTTTTCATTGCTGCAGTTTTGCATCAGTTATATTTCGTTATCCATGAGTAATTCAAATAAATTTATGATCAAATTGAAGTTTATACATGAAACCTGAACATTTTGTCAGAAGAAAAAATCGAACCTTGTTTTAGTGCAAGATGCACAATCCCATATAAAACGTCAGGCTGGAAACTATTGTTCTTTGAAGTGAAACAGACTGAAAGGATGCTTAAAGCATCGTTCTGGCCTAAAACTACCTTTAATACCTTATTTGCCATGTAAAATTCTGTAGTGCAGTATTGCATCCTTGGCCTCATCGGTTTCACAGAATGCACAATTTTGTATTCTGTTCGTGTTTTTGTCCATCGTTGTTCTCTCAATACAACACCCCCCAACAGTGATAAAGAAAATCTGCCAGCATAGCTACTGATGTAGAGCCTAATAAATACAAATGTGATTTTAGGCTCCCTACACTATAAAAAGGATAGTCCTTTAAGGGTTCTCTAGTAAGGAAGACGGTTCTATATAGAACAATGAACACTCAAAGAACACTTTTAATGATTAAAGCGCTCTTTGCATCATGAAAGTGTTCTCAGATTGATGGAAAATGTGCATAAAATCGCTGTAGATGGTTCTATACACGTATATATATTCTATATACGTGACAATATAAGAACCCTTTTCGAAAAAGGTTCTATATAGAATCATCTACAACACATTCTCCATCAATCTGAAGAATCTTTTCATGATGCAAAGAACCCTTTAAGCATGCAAAGGGTTCTTTGAGTGTTCATGATTCTAGAGGAAAGATCTTTTTTTAAGAGTGTACACAATAGAAGATGTCTTTTGGTTGCTATACTGAACCCTTTTCAGAAAGGTTCTATATAGAACCATATACAACACATGCTATCAATCTGAAGAATCATTTCATGATGCAAAGAACCCTTTTAATCATGGAAACCTTTAAGTGTTCTTTAAGTGTTCATGGTTCTTTATAGAACTATTTTCTTTACTAAAGAACCCCTGAGGCACCATCTTTTTTTGGTGTGTAGCAGTAACATTAGCTATCTCACTTCCTTCTGCATTAACCAAAACATATTCAAACAGTCTGCCCCCCGAAGCTCTTCTGGTTTTGCAATTGTTCTTCATGATACATCATTAGAAGGGGGGTTTCTCTTTAAACCAGAAAATCTCACTGTAGTGACTACTGTGGTGTCACCGTAAAAAGTGACTAGGCACGTTTATGATATAGACATAGAGATGGTTAATTTTGGCTGGAGTGTCCCTTTAAGCTGTTTCAGTAATGAGAGCCTTTCATACCAACTTTGTGGCATCTATAACAGCTTCTGGAAAAAGACAAAAAAAACAAAAAGTCTAATCGCAGATTGATGTCCTACCTCTGAATTGCTCTTTAAAATGACTGCAGACGATTCAAGAAGACGCATAGTGTTGCCATGATATTGCAGTGCAGCCATGTTGCTTACAGTTTTGATCCGCGTGCATGCCATCCTTTCCCATCATCTGGTCTTTTCTTTCATGCTATTGACAGAAACTGTAGTGTGAAATCATGATGACGATGTTTTGTACCATTTTATGTCTCTATCAGTTTAACTTTCCATATGTTTCCCTTTTATTTTCAGTGAAGTCCTTCACGTCTCTGTTGATAAAGGCTTAATGATGGCTGAACGGAAGCTATAAGATGTGTTTGTAGCACTTTCGTTTGTGTGCTGTGATCTAACCCAGTCGTTCCTCTGTGCTTCGCAGGACCCCATAAATGAACAGAACTTTGACGCGTACGTGACCACTCTGACTGATATGTACACAAATCAAGAGCAGTACCAGAGCCCGGAGAACAAAGCCCTGCTGGAGAATATAAAACAAGCAGTACAAGGGATCCAAGTCTAGCCACTCAGCAAACTAAGAGGCTTCTAAAGTGGGAAGAAGTAGTGACAAAAAAAAAAGACATTTACAAAAGGAGAAGGAGACAAATGGGATGCCTCGTGGTTTGCTGCTGTAATTTAGCAGACAGTGTTAAATATTCACATTATGTTCTTTAAAAAAAAAGTGTTATGCTTACAAATCTTCATGATTTTTAATTTCCGTTTTATTTTTGGTCTTGCTTTAAAACAAATATAGTTATCGGCAGAATAGTTTTTGAAAACATTCACATTTTGTACGTTTTCATATGAGCTAACATAGTGTGATGTAATGTTTCTAGCTGCTCATGTATGCACATTTTAGTGTATATTTCTGAACAGTAAGGCAAACGAATATTGGATATACGTTCTTTTTTAATGCTTGCTGAAGCATTTTAGATTGAAAATCTAAACAACTACATCTAAACAACAAACATGCAAAGATATAGCTACTTTTTAAAAGATCTTTTCTCCTCATCGAATGATTTTATGGAGTTTTGGAAGATGTTTTTTGTGTGCAGATTGTTAAAAATGGCAGGACTGGGTTTTATTTTTGACTATGCTCCAGAAGTCTGTCGACTTTTACTGGAAACCGAGTTTGGCACCTGGTCGTGGGGGGGCGGGGGAGGGGGGGGGGTAAATGGCTGTTGGAAAATGAGCATTGAAAAAGAAAAAAAAATAAGAACATCAACTTGATGTATGAATGTCACAGTTTTATTGTAAACATCACGACACGGAAACCTGATGGTGGAAGTCCCAGAACTTAGCAACAGACATTATCTGGCACTTAAGAAAAGTTTTACTTTGTGTTGGTATTATCATTAAATCTGCATCAACGTAATGGCAAGCGAGCTTCTACAGATCACCCCAGCGTCAGTGCTCATTTAGCTTGATCCTCGTAATAGTAGCTAGAATCTCACACCATATCAGCAATATTGCGACTTAACAATGCTTATGACGATGAGAGGCAATCTGGGAAAACAGTTGGGGGTATATGCAATTTCCTGTTTGTAGACATAGTGGGGAAGCAAAAAAGATGCTTTTTACTATATGTAAATGATTGATTTTTTATATAAATCTTTTAATACAAAATTTTTCAAAGGGGGTATACATGGACATACAATTTAGGGGCAGGCAAAGATTTGCGAGGGCCGTTTTTCTTGATTATTTACGATTTTTTGCACAGGGACACCTTCGTTTCCATGTTCTGATGGTTTTACATGAACTACTGCAGTGCTTGGAGCCTAAGTGGAGAGAAAAGGGTTTTGTAGAATATATATATAAACTATGAAAGCGGGACTTACAGGGTCATTGTCCCCACATATGTGCCAGTACACTATTTGCACTTGTCCTAAAGATATATCATTACGTGTGGTAGTGTGCAATCTCTAGGTGTCTCTTTGGCACACAATTGGAACGAAGAATGGCAAAGGATGTTGGACTGTATCGGAGGGAGACTACAGGGAATCGGAATACAAATGAGGACGATATCTTTACCAGTAATTTTATGAATTATTAAGTAATGCTATTTCATTTTGGTATCCTCTAGGATCATTAAAAATCCCCAGCAGCACTTTATGTCTATCACTGTACAAAATCATTAAAAGATAGTCAATCAAAAGAAAAATGTTAAAATGATGAGCGAAAAAAGAGAGAAATTCCCAAAATGACGATGGTGTCAGAAGTAGAACCGAAGGGTGTTGCAATACTACAGTATGTCTATGCGCCCCTACTTTTCTGTTCTGTTATTAGCTGTAGCAACCACGTTAAGACTTTGCCTTTCGGAGAGCGAACGCAAAGGTGCTCGTCTTTCACCTGATCTCATCCATTGTACAACTCCGTCCTCTTTTCGGACACCATCCTCCATGACTGCATATGCCTTTCATCACAGCATCGTGTCTGCAGCTTTTTGCCAATATAGTAATGCTTTCAATAGAGTAATAGCTAGTATCAGTTTTTGAATAAATTATTGTTATCAGTACAATGGAAAAGGGATTCTAAGCACAAACATGCTGCTCATCTACTGTTGCTACATAATATCAAATAATTAAAAAAAAGAAGAAGATGATATCTGTGACTATTTACCTAGGGAAAACAAAAAGGTGTCACATATTAGAATGCTGAAATTTCATATGAATTATTGTGAATTCATCAGAGTTTATTTATTCTAAATTCTTCATTTCGAGGTTGATTTGAGTAATCATCGATGAAGACAGGATTTTGTACAAACTATTGTGCTCTCTGTGGAACTGAAGTTTGATTTATTTTTGTACAACACAGCATGAATTTGTTGACCTTTTAATTTTGCTATAAATGTGTGAGATCACAAGTTGCTGTGATTTTTTCATTTTTAAATTGTGGAATTTGTACAATTTTTGTCATGCTGGATGTTGACACATCTTACTCTGAATAAAGAAAAATGGTGTTGCCACAGTCTCGTTTCACCGCTCTAATTTAAAAATAATAATAATAATAATAAATCTGAACTATGAAACAATAAATGTACATGCACGCTGGGGAAATATTCAAGATTTTGTCAGACTTTTTTAGGTTGTCTGTAAACTAGAAATGGGCTGTAATAGGTACCATTTGTGATATTATTATTACACCAAGACAAAAACTATCATGAGTAATGTAACTTAAGGCTGCAGTATTTGGAGATATGGGATCCTCTCAGCAGAGGGCAGCAAACCTCTACATATTCTCTTGGCTCGCACTGTTAGACGCTGCAGTTAGTGGATAAAGATATGTTCAAAATAAAACTAAGAAATAAAAAGGAGGCTAAAGTTGGTGTCTTATTCGCCGGCTTCTTGATCGAATTTTCCGTTCCACCTTAAATGGTGCAGCAGTTATGTTCTGGCGTTTCAGGCCTCAGGCGCCAGAATGCAACTCCTGCACCATTTAAGGTGGGACGGGAAAAATCGAACAAGAAGCTGGCGAATATGAAGCTGACGTGAAACTAAAAGTAAAAAGAGCCGAACAAAATGTTAGAGTATATTACTCCATGGCGCCATTTTAAGCTGCTTAGCAAAATAAAAAAACGAGAGCCAGAGAGTGAAGAAGACTTCAGTCTTCACAGTTTTAAACATGCCCTGTTTAGTAGAACTAGCTCTGTGGCTGGGTTTACTTTTAAATGCTCTGAAAGTAACTTGCAGGAATAAACCTTCCAAACCTTTGTAGGAACAAAACCGTTAGCCCACATTTCATGCTGCTCACACAGCGGGATATAAAATCGTTCAGAATGGACATAAAGAGTAGATTCGTTTATAGCATTACAAATTCATAATTCAACGTGTTTAGGGGACTAAAGTGTCGCTTTTCGATAAGGCCTAAAAGTGCTAGAGAGAAGTCTGCTCTGATTAGCTGCTCTCTTCATCGTTGTTTCTCTTTTCCTACCCGTATTCCGACTTTCCCTCCCTCCAGCGCTATGATTGGCTAGTAGTCTCTACATCTGTGCAACGACTGGCTAGCAGATCGTAGATATCAAATTGACCAATTGTATCGCAAGAAGCAAAATGTTACTATCCAATCGTAGCGCGGAGTAGGCGGGACTTGTATGAAAACGGGTGTGGAAAAACTCCACAACGGCTCCTCTTCCCGTTTGACTGTGTAACATACTGCCCTAGTTCTATACCGGACTTTGTCGACCGTATCGACAGCTGGAGTCTCGCGGATCCCAGCGCTGGCTTACCTGGAGTCGGTTAGAGGGGCTGAGCTGCCTGGCGGTTGTGTGACTTCAATGGTTCATAGACTAACCGCTCTACAATGGCGTTGTGGACCGGCCGAGCCGCCTCATCTTCATTTTTAGTGCTGGTTGGTCTCCTGGTGCTCGGCAGTGGTCCGTACGTGGTCTCATCATGTCCGAGCCGGTGTCTGTGTTTCCGTACCACCGTCAGATGTATGCATTTAAATCTGGAGACGGTGCCAGCCGTCTCACCTCAGACTACTATTTTGTAAGTATTAAAGATTTCTATGAGAATAATTGTTTTTTCACCAAACTCTGACCATCTTAATGTTCCCTCATTGGTTGTTTTCTAGTCAGTTTTAAATGTTTAAAATGTATTTATTTGCTTTAACCATTTTTACATATAATTTGTCTATTTATTTATTTGTTTGTTTTCCAATCTAATCGCATGGGTAGGAGCTCTCAGAAGAAGGTTAGTCTTCACTGAACTTGCCTTCATCTTAAATTGTTCAGCTTCCTTCCATACAGTCACTGCTGTGGACTAGCTAACTAGCAATCTAGCCAAGTCTTTATCTTCTCACTGTTTCTTCATTGTTTTCCTTTTGTGGTCAATCCCATTTACATGTTCATTGCATTCCTCTGGTGGCTTATCTGTGTTTGCATCTTTTCTTTAGAGACCAATTGACCACTGGTAATTTTTGGGTCATTAGCGTCCAGATTTGCTGTTTATGGCAGTCCCTTTGCTTCTTGCAGACTAGCTCTGTTGTCCTTCAGTAAACACTGGTTCCAAATATTTGCACTGAGATGTTTGTATAATTTGATATTATTTGGAGTGCATAGTGAGCTCTTAATAAGGTGTGAGTGACCAGGGTCCAGTGGTTAAACACATTACTTTGCTTCCTTCCTACTGTTTGGTTGAGCGTGTGGGGAAAGAAAGCCATGTTCCTGCTTCATTTCATTTTATCTTGGAATAATCCATTAATCGCATACTTATGAGCTGTTGACCCTCTCCAGTGTGTTCTGTAACTTTGCTGTTAGTCTGCTGCTTTTTAATGAGGCACATCCTGATCCTTGGGCTCCTGTCTCATTTTTTACCTCACGGTTAATATTGCTAATTACTAATGGACGTTTATACCCCACCAGTTAACTTTGTACAAACTAAATGCCTGAGTCATCATACAACATGCCTTAAAATGTGTCCAAATGTCAGGTAGACTTGCTTATGTGTTCTCTGATGCTTTGTGATACAGACCTACTGTTATCTATAAAATTCGGGATGCATGATGATGTCGGAAACATATCTATGTCAGCAGATTTTACCTTAAAAATATATCAGCAATGGATCGAAATTTTAAACCAATATTTGATTATATTGCACTCTAGAAGAACAAAATATTTACACGGTGTTTGGATACTGTGCTTAAATATGTGTTTTATTCATTTTACTTCATGGGGGTGTAGTCCCAATTTCTACGTCTTTTGTAAATGTTTATTGAAAATATTGGATATCGACATTAGCCCATGTCATTCAATCCCAAATTTTAGTACCTAAGACCCCGGTCTTGTCAGCATCCATGAGCCACAAAGTTTGCTTGTTCCAAAATCTGGACTACTGATTGGCCATCTAAATTACATACCATGTGCATGTTATTGACATCAGCACTTCTTGAACAGTCTGTAATTCATTTGGTCAGTAAATGTACCCATTTTAAGCACTTCACACTCATTTCTGACATAAGCCGCACTCCACTGGCAAAAACTTGAATGACGTATAACATCTTTTGAATTTTCAGTGGACATGTTGGTGCAGCCTAAGTTCACTGTCGCATGACGCTTTTAATATTTAATATTCATAACTCATAAAGAGAATGGTGTCCTAAACCTGGGGGAATTGCTACAATGTGTAGTGATGAAGAAAGCGACGCTCACAGTAGAATGGGAGATTTTCCCCACTTGCTCTAGAACAGAAGGAAATAACTCAACATATACAAACCACAGAGACCACAAAGCACAGAGTTTGGGAGAAAGTGCAAATGCTAGACGGATGGATGTAACAGAATGTAAAATAAACTGTGGACTCTTCCAGCCATTTCATTAGCTCTTTAGCTTTGTTTATACTGGGAAACAGGTACAATCGTAAAATCATGAAGATGATGATATAAATACTATCAAAACAATGAACACAATGATTTGTATTCAACGTTTCACATCCTGTACTGCAATCATTCCAATTAAACAGCACTAATTATGCTCTCTTTTTAAAGAAATATGCAGCTGGTCAGTGTTCTTAAGTACTGATGATGCCCATGATATACTCAAAGAAGCATATTGTGACATATTGTGAAGTCAACACAGGCATGTGAAGCTCATAACAGACATACATGTAACATATTCTTTATTCTGTTTGCAGTTTTGCTGTGACTCCTTCTAAAAAGGTCTGAATTTGAAGTCTGTTTCTCTATTATTATTAATCAGCCTGTAAGCCAGAACAAGGCCTGCTGGTCTTCTCTAGTAAGGGCAGTAAATAGTTCAGTTATAGAGAATACAAAGTGTAAACCGGTTAAAGAGAGCCTGCAACAGTAAACAGTGATGTTCAACTGGCAGTTCTTCATTTGGTTGCCTTTCGTAAACATTCAAATATCAAATTGATGATGCAAACATTGCAATCAAATTTACTAATAACTGGATGAATTTCAGTATTTAGACCTTAGGGCAGTTTTTTAAATTAAATCAATAATTTATGAAATGAAAAAAAAAAAGGAAAAAAAATCTGTACTGAATGATACACAACGTTAGCCTCAAGGTAATCACCCTTTTTCATCTAAGCAGAAGACTTACTGCAACAATGCCCATTGTAGCTTTGCCAGTGAAATCAACCTAACGTCTAACAAGAGGGCCAGCTGCTGTTGTTTCTAAGAGGAGTCGGTTTGATTAGCTGTCCTTAGTTCACTCCTGTTTATCAGTCTAGCAGGCATGTGGAATTATTGGGTCAAACAGCAAGACTTTAACTGCACATCAAAGAGTCACATTGTTGCCTTATATAATGTTTACTAGCTAATGAGAAGGAATGAACGGAGCAGTTTAATTTCATCGGCATGACGGATTCAGCCTTATGAAGGTCAAGTCAGTTTTCGGCCTTTTGTTGCATCGAAGGATGAACATCAGAATTCAGGCCCTGTTTAGATGTGGCTTGATGAGGCTGGATGAAAATATCTGATGAAAACAGATGAACAGAAATGTCTTGTGTGAGACGTAGCTAGAGTCTAGAATGTAAACAACAGTGAGACAGAGGAACAGGACCACCATTCCCTAAAAAAGATCCTGAATTTGTAATATGTTCCCCTGCTGGTTTTAATAGTCCCATGTGATAGCTGCATGCATGCGTTTCCTGGACCCATATACATCTGTGCAAACAGAGGCCTCCATTCAGACGGAGTTCAAGCACAAAGGAGCAAGTGAGCCCTGACGAGAAGTATATGGTGGTCACTATTAGTCTGGCAGCATATGCAAAAGGACCACCAGCTCTCAAACTGGGACACTGATGAGGGCTTAAGTAGGGATGGGTGTCATGATGATATGTTACCTTGTTTGTGGTAAACTATGTCACAGAATGCTTTTCTGAGTACAGTCATATGCAAAAGTTTGGACATCTCTGATCAGATTACATGTTAAAATTTGTTAAAATGAGTTAACGCATCTACTGCAGCCAACATAAATAAATTTGGCATTTTCTTTCAAATATGAAATGACAACCACAAGCTCTCTAAATTCTGTATAGTTCTAATTAGCCAGTTGGTGTAGAGCTGATGATTGCATGATTCTTTGGGTTTACAGTAAGTTATGACTTAAAATGCAGATAACCTTCTCAATGAGATGTTTCTGACAATGCGCAATGCTTAGTTTGATCTAAACCTAATCTACATGGGTAGTACATTTTCTTTTCCCTTCCTTAGAGAATCCTCCTCAGGCTTCACGTCATTGGCTGTTCATCACAAATGTCACAGTTTCAGTTTTTACTCACACAAGGATTAATCACAGCCAGAGTATCTAAATCTGGATTAATCACAGCCAGAGTATCTAAACCTGGATTAATCACAGCCTCTGTAACTAAAGCTGGATTAATCACAGCCAGAGTATCTAAACCTGGATTAATCACAGCCAGAGTATCTAAATCTGGATTAATCACAGCCAGAGTATCTAAACCTGGATTAATCACAGCCTCCATAACTAAAGATGGATTAATCACAGCCAGAGTATCTAAATCTGGATTAATCACAGCCTTCGTAACTAAACCTGGATTAATCACAGCCAGAGTATCTAAATCTGGATTAATCACAGCCAGATTATCTAAACCTGGATTAATCACAGTCTCCATAACTAAAGCTGGATTAATCACAGCCAGAGTATCTAAACCTGGATTAATCACAGCCAGAGTATCTAAATCTGGATTAATCACAGCCTCCGTAACTAAACCTGGATTAATCACAGCCAGAGTATCTAAACCTGGACTAATCACAGCCAGAGTATCTAAATCTGGATTAATCACAGCCTCCGTAACTAAACCTGGATTAATCACAGCCAGAGTATCTAAACCTGGATTAATCACAGCCAGAGTATCTAAATCTGGATTAATCACAGCCTTCGTAACTAAAGATGGATTAATCACAGCCTCAGTAACAAAACCTGGATTAATCACAGCCTGAGTAACTAAAGATGGATTAATCACAGCCTGAGTAACTAAAGATGGATTAATCACAGCCTGAGTAACTAAAGATGGATTAATCACAGCCTAAGTAACTAAAGCTGGATTAATCACAGCCTAAGTAACTAAAGCTGGATTAATCACAACCTGATTAACTAAAGCTGGATTAATCACAGCCTGAGTAACTAAAGATGGATTAATCACAGCCTGAGTAACTAAAGATGGATTAATCACAGCCTAAGTAGCTAAAGCTGGATTAATCACAACCTGATTAACTAAAGCTGGATTAATCACAGCCTGATTAACTAAAGCTGGATTAATCACAGCCTGAGTAACTAAAGATGGATTAATCACAGCCTGAGTAACTAAAGATGGATTAATCGCAGCCTGAGTAACTAAAGATGGATTAATCACAGCCTGAGTAACTAAAGCTGGATTAATCACAGCCTAAGTAACTAAAGCTGGATTAATCACAGCTTGAATATCTAAACCTGGATTAATCACAGCCAGAGTATCTAAAGATGGATTAACAGAAAAAGGTTTTGTGAATCTGAAATTCAGTCAAT